GAGTTCACAGCACAGAGGACACAGCTGCACAGAGGGAGAACTTGAGAGAAATGCAGAGGGCTTCCAACGAGTATTCAGCAAAGTAATCATCAGCATGTGGTTAGAAATATTAGAACATTTTTGAGATAATTGATTATAAATTTTAAATAATAGTTATTAACCATGCTACATTAGAAAACTAATAGAGACCAGAGGGGGAACAAGCATTTGAAAAGATTAGCAGAAACAGTATCTCACATTCAAAAGAGCCTAGAAAAACACCCGTTCCCACCAGTCAGATTGGAAAACGTCATAATTCACTGGGCACTGGGACAGAACTCAACATGACCATGGCTACATGGCAGTAATAGTTAGCCTCAGACTACACAGGTCGGGCACTGCCTAGCAAATCTTAGGAGTAAGATCCAAATAGATTGAACTGTTTCCAAGACAGAACTATATCCTAGAACTATATTCAAGAATATTTGTAGGAATGCAGAATATCTAGCACCCAACAAAAAAATAGTACAGTGTGTGAGAACCAATCAAAGTTTACTAGGCATGCAACAAAGCAGGTATATATGGAGAATAATGAGGACAAAATTCAACCCATTGAACTGACTCAGAACTGGCACATTCTTCCAGTAGCAGAGGACTTTGAAACAGTTACTATAATTATATTCCATATGTTCAGAAAGTTATGGAGAGACATGTGAGATATATAAAAAAAAGGCCAAATTGAACTTCTAGAGATGAAAACTATAGTTTCTGAAATGAAAAATTCAGGGGATAGATTTAGGGTCAAATTGCACATTGTGGAAGAAGGGGTTAATCAACATGAAGGTATGAAAGTGGAAACTCTCCAAAATAAAAGCACACAGAGAAAAAAATAATTAAAAAATGAGGAACAGTGAGCTGTACAACAACTTAAAAGTAGTCTAATATATGTAATTAGAATCCCAAAAAGGAGGGGACAGAACAAAACATTGATACTGGGTTAAAAAAATCAGGTTTGATAAAAATTTTAAAATCACGTATCTAAGAAACTCAATACATCCTAGGAACAAAAACAAGAAGAAAACCACCCCAATGCACATCATAATCAAGTTTTTCAGAAACACTGGCAAAGAGGTTAAAAAAGCATGTTACATACAGAGCAAATAAACAGAAGACAAGCAAGAAAACAGTGAAATAGCATCTTTAAGTTGGACACAACTAAGCGACTGAATTGAAAGCATTATAAATAAAAAACAGTCAATCTCAAATTGCGTATGTAGCAAAAATAGTTTTCAAAAACAGAGACAAAATAGTGATTTTTTTTTTACACAAGAAAAATTCAATTTATCACCAGTAGATCTGCACTAAAAGAAATGTTACCAAGGGGAAAATGATACCAGATGGAAATATGGATCTACACAAAGGAACAAAGAACATAAGAAATAATCACTACACTTGAAAATAAATATTTTCTTATTCAATTTCTTTTAAAAGATGACCTTTAAAACATATTTAGAAAGAAAATTAGAAAGTACTTTGAGTAGAATAAAAATTAAGCAGTGAAATTTTGTTAGATATCACTAAGCAATACTTAGTGGGGGAATTTATACCACTCAACTATGGTATTAAAAAAGTGAAAGTTTTTATGTCAATGACTTCAGCTTCTACCTTAGAAAACTAGAAAATCAAGATCAAAGTAAAATCAGATAAAGCAAAAGAAAGACAATAATAAAGATAAGAATAGAAAATAGTGAAATAGAAAATAAAAACACAATACAGACAAACATAGGAAATAGTATTTTAAATCTATTTTAATACAGTCAGTGTGACATGTCAATTAAGATAGACAAAGATTAATGGAACAGAATAAAAAGAATAGAAAAAATAAACAGAAACATATCCACAAATATATGGATTTTTGACAAAGGCATAAAAGCTGATCAGTAGACAAAGGATAGTTTTTTTTCAGAAAATGGTGCTGGAATAATTGGCTTTTTATAGGAAAAAAGAACCTTGATTCAAACCTTGTACCACAAGCAAAAAGTAATTCAAAATGGATAACACATCTCAATGTAAAAGCTTACTATAATAAAACTTCTGAAAGAAAACATACCAGAAAATTTTTATGACCTTTGGTTAATAAGAGATTTCTTAGATACAGCACTGTGAAAGATGTTAGGTACAATCTGTGAAAGAAAAAAAAAGATAAAAGATAAAGTAGGTGTTGGTATCTTCAGAAACAATGCTTAGAGAGTGAAAAGACAAGTCCCATATAGGGAGAAAATATTTACATCTTGTCTAGCTGATAAAAGACTTGTATCTGTGATATATTAGAAACTCTCAAAACTCAAAGAGTAATTTTTTTTTGTAAATAAAGCAAACCAATTAAAATTGGCGAGCTTCCCTGGCGGCTCAGTGATAAAGAATCCACCTGCCAGCGCAGGAGACAGGGGTTTGATCCCTGACCGAGGAAGATCTCACATGCTGCAGAGAAATTTAGCTTGTGCGCCGTAACTACTGAACCTGTGCCCTAGAGCCCGGAAACCACAACCGAGCTCCGTGCCACAGCTGCTGAAGCCAGCACACTCCAGAGCCCACGCCCTGCAACAAGAGGAGCCCCCCACGATGAGAAGCCTGCGAAATGCACCTGGAGTTGTGCTTGGCACAACTAGAGAAAAGCCTGTTCGGCAATCAAGACCCAGCACGGCTATAAATAAATAAATAAATTTTTTAAAAGAAAAAATAATAAAACTGGCAAAAAATTTGAACAGATACTTCATCGAAGAAGATATATACATGTTAAATAAGCAGATGGAAAGCATACATTAGGGAAATGCACACTAGAACCACAATGAGATCACTATAACACTCAGCATAGAGACAGTGAAAAAGACTGACCATGGCAGGTGTTGGCTAGAGAAATAGGAACTCTCAGATATTTCTGGTGGGAATGCAAAACAATAGAAGGCCTTTGGAGTATTTGTCAGTTTCCTAAAACTTTAACCATATACCTTTCCTATGATCCTACCATTTCACTCCTACATATTAATGTAGGAGAAAAGAAAGCCAGAAAAAGAAGCCATGCATACTATATGATTCAATTTATGTAGAGGTCTAGAAAATGCTGTTATTTGTAGTGACGGAAAGTAGATCAGTGGCTGCTTGGATACTGTGATCTCAACAGAAATCTCTATAGAGCTTATTTCTCAAACTTAGTGTGGAAAACCTTGTTCACCAGACTTAACTAGAGGGGTTATTTTAAAATTCAACCTTAAATTCAATGCTACTTATGCAGAGGATGGTTAGAAAAAGAGCTGAAATCAAGCAGTGCAGAGTAAGCACAATTTCAAAAAACAAGTTTGTTTTATTCAAGTTGTGCTTGTTGCGTAATGAACATGTGGTAAGCTGAGTGATGGCCTGATGTAAGAGTACAGTGCAAAAGAAATAAGAAAAGTGATACAAATTTCTTGAGCCTCATATTTTTCATATAGAACTGGAGATAATAAAACTTCAGAATTTTTAAAGGAATAAATATTGTGTATAACAGCATATACTATTCTGCAGCTTCCATTTGTAGAAAGAGTTCTGGCAGGATATTTATTTTATTATTTATCTATTTTAAATTCTTATTTTGTGGTTTTAAATGATTTATCTTCATATAGTTTAACCTTATGTCATTTTACTTGTGTTGTTCATTTCTATTTTATCAATAATTTGTCTTTAAATTTTATCTTTTAATATATTTACATGTGTCAGTTGGCTATCCTTTACCAGAGATATGCTAGATTTTTGTATGTATGTTTAGCAAATACTAATTTTTTTTTTTATTCAATGGTACAAAAAAAATTTAAAAAGCAGGGCCTTAGAATTTAAAGGTGACAGTCTTTAAAACAACCTCAAGTTCATCTCTACTGTGTATGATGACCATGTTCAAAATCAAACTCTGTAATACTCAGCTCATTATCAAAAGCAAACCCTGAAGGGAGTGAAATGAATGAATCCACGTACTCTTTGTTCCATGCAATCAACCTGTGATCTTCCAGAAGGTTATTAACAATATGCTGTCTGGTTAGAACAGCCATTTATCTTGATATTAGTTTAGTATATTCCACCAGCGCCACTTTACAAAGCGCCACCTCCTTTGAATCATTTTGGTTAAGTCATGGCAATGGTCTGTCCAGCTGAAATCAAAGTCCAAAGATGTCTATCCGAGTACTGAGTTGGTAGGACATTTTATTTCTTGGTAAGGGCTCTTAAGTTCTGGGCATAAATCTCGCCACTATCTAAACTAGAAAGCATTCTGGAAAACCCATGCTATATAGCAATTCCTCAGTCAGTTGTCCATTAGAACTTAACCCCTCACTTCCTTACCTCAATTGCTGCTCAAAGAACCAAAGCTTTTCAGCTACCTCAGATCTCTCCAGGTCCTTTAGTAGTACTCTAGTACTGAGCCTCTGAAGCAAGAGATATCTTTGTTTTGGTTTTCCTCAGTTTTACAGTCTTTTGATTGCTAAGTTTCAACACATGGTATAATTTATCAAGCTATGTCAAGTTGGTTTCTCAGCAGTGTGGATTCTGATCCCTAGCTGCTCTTATCTCTGGTCCAAGATAAGGATGACATTTGTTGAGATCTGAGTAGATCAAACAGATCTCTTGATCATTCTCAGCAAACAAATCATTTTCTTCTCCTTTGTCATGAAATGGACACTTACGTTACTTCAAGTCTTGGTTAAAGGCATCTCTTTGGCTCCTTCTAAGTTAGCCTAAGCCTAGGAATAATTAACTGAAGTGTTTGTGCTGCTGTAGTGCTGTTAATTCTTCTCTAAGTCCATGGTACATTGTGCGTTACTGGTTTGTCTTTTAGCCCTTTGAAAACAGTAGTTGTCTCATTCCTCTTTTGAATCCTCACAACTTAGCACAGTTCAGGGTTTATATTATATACTCAGTTGATGTTTAATTATTGCTTCACTGTGTAATGATTATTTATGTATCATAATAGTTTTAAAAATTCAAAAAACACTAAATTCATTCAATTTCCTTTAATGAGTATTTGTTATATATATAAAAAAAGAGGTATAAAGTCCTGTTCCCAAGTCCAAATCTCTTATTAACGTAAACCTTGAGTTTTTTTGAATTACCCATTTGAAATAATTGTCTTTATACCTGAAAAATGGATTTATTGAAATGTTTGAGATAAAAAATATGTATTGCAAGAAGCATAAGACAAACATTTCAAGAGTACAAAATTAAGTTGCAGAAATAATATAATTTGCCAGTAAACCCACATTTTATTAGAAATGTGCAAAGCTTTTTGATGTAAAAGTTTTGGTTTTGTCATTTTTTAATACTGAGCACCCATTTTTATTTATCCATTTCCCATGGAGAGGTAACTCCTTGCATGCATTTTATGTCTCCATATGTAAATTCAAGGTTCAATCTTCTCAATGGGATAACAGGTCACAACTCGGAGATTTGAATTGTATTGAATCCAGTGACAAGGATTTTCTCTCATGGATTTCAAAGTCAGCTGGAACTCTTCATGTCAAGATGTAAAAGTCTGTAAGGTGTTATGTTTCCCTTAGATTCTATCCCACAGGAGGCTAAACCCACAATATCCCTCATGTTTCTCATTCAGAAAAAAAAAAAGTTATTGCATTCAGAATTGTTCAACAATTGCTCTTTTGTCTTGGCTCATTTCTTCACATCAAAGTGGCTTTCATATTTTTCCTTTAAGACCAGGTTGTTGGTTTAGGGTTGTATAAACTTTGTTGTCTGGTGTCCGGATTTTCACTGAGGACGATCTTCCCTTGATCGTCTTCTGGATCCTGATTAGGAAGAAGGCAGAGAATATAGATTGTGAATGGGATGAAATTATAGTGTTTAAGAATATGATATTTAACTCATGTGTATGGCTGCATGCTCAGAGGCTTCAGTCGTGTCCGACTCTTTGCGACCCTGTGGACTGTAGCCCGCCAGGCTCCTCTGTCTATGGGATTCTCCAGACAAACACTGGAGTGGGTTGTCATGCCCTCCTCCAGGGATCTTCTTGCCCCAGGGATCGAACCTGCATCTCTTCGTTGCAGGCAGATTCTTTATAACTGAGCCATCAGCAAAGCCCCATCTTATGCATAATTATATCTTTAAAATACTATTATTTGTTATTATAATAAATGCTAAATTATGTTTTCTTAATAATATTCTGTTTATGACAAAACCAAATCATCTTTTGATCAAAGGTATATGAACATAATAAAGTTATGCTTTATTTCTTTAGAAAATTTGGATGATTTTGCATGTTTAAAAGAAATCCAAGATAAAGTTCTCAGTTAAAAATTATTTGTACAATTGAGTCTTTAGTTTCAAATGTCTATATTGGACTAGGTTAAAATCAGATATGCCTATAATGCATTTATAAGCCTTGCAACTTCTTTTGACTATTAGTATGTAATTCTAAGTTCCACAAAGGAAATATTTGATATTTGATTGTACCAGAATATAAGGTATCCTAAGTGGAAGATGAGAACATGCACATAAATGAAATTATAAAGAAAGTTATAATGCATAGGTGATATATACATGTATATAACCTACACATTATATCAACATTTTGTATATAGATATATTAATCATTTCCTATAAGTGTACAGTACATATAGCTTTGAATTTATTTTTGTCTCAAACTGTAGCTTCATCTTAAATAATAGTTTCATAGAGTTCAGGTGTCCCTGAAACTTATTTTTACTCAACTTTGGTATTCAAGGATTTCTTTTCAAATTAACTCTACTTTAGTCTACCACAGTGGTTCAATATATTTAACAGTTTACATAAGTATAATTTTCTTTCCTTTAATGTTTGCTTTTCTTACATTTTATTAACAGTGAGTGATATGAAAGATTTATTTTTTGATTCATATCATCAAAATACTTTGCTCAAAATAAAGTGTATTAAAATACTCTCCTTTGGGTGGGATGTTTCAAGAGAACAGCATCAAAACATGTATATTATCTAGGGTGAAACAGATCACCAGCCCAGGTTGGATGCATGAGACAAGTGCTCGGACCTGGTGCACTGGGAAGACCCAGAGGGACGGGATGGGGAACACATGTAAATCCATGGCTGATTCATGTCAATGTATGACAAAACCCACTACAATATTGTAAAGTAATTAGCCTCCAACTAATAAAAAAAAAAAAAATAACACATGTAAATCCATGGCTGATTCATGTCAATGTATGACAAAACCCACTACAATATTGTAAAGTAATTAGCCTCCAACTAATAAAAAAAAATAAAAAAATAAAAATAAAAAATAAAATACTCTCCTTTGTTTTGTCTTAATGTAACAGGTGTGCCACTTATGCAAATTACCATAATCAATATACTTACCTTGAACTCTTTTGTTGGCTTGTATCTTTCTCACAGGTGTGTCTGAAATTAAACAGTTGTAGTTAAAAATACTTTTGAAATTATGGCTAACATGAGACAGGAAAACACAGTTTAGCAGAAAAGTGTAAAGTTTTAAATAAACATCACTTAAACATGTAGACTTCTCCTGGAGTAGTGAGACTTTGGCATTGGCAACAGACATTTGTTTTCCTTATATCATAATGAATATTTACTATTTTTGCAAAACATGTTGTTTTATTATGGTATGTGGAGCCCTGGATGGTGTTCCATTTTTGCATGGAATAAGTGACTTACATGACTTTTTCATCCTTTTTATAAAAAGCATCACTTTATGATGAAAGGATGTCTACTCTCCTATGAAGTTTAGCAGAAGTATATTCCCAGAGATAAGCACTCATTTTTCTCCTAGTCATTCATATTTGTGATATATCAGACTTCTGCCTCTATAAAATTCCCACTGTAACTTAATTTTCATTAACTTTTAATATGTGAAATATGCCAATAAGCAATTCAAGCAGTGTGTACCAATTCAATTCCCGAAATGAGTTCCAATCCAAGACCATTTAAAAATTAAATAGTTAAAAATAATAAGAGTTCATATTTTAGAATTTCAAGTGTTCATAATAATGCAGTGCTTTGTTGTTACAGTTGCAAAATACTTCCCAGTTCTTTTTCTTTTAACTTATTGACAAGACCACTTGGTCGACTGAAATTCACATTTTCATTCTGTGTTGGACATTTGAGATCAAGGAATAAATATGGTCCCTATAGCGACTTCGCTTCTCTGCTTACCTTCTTTATTTTTTTCTCCAAAGTTTGACTTCTTGATTTTTATATATTATCTGTACTCAACAATGAAGTAAACATTTTTCTATGATATACAAATATATTTTTTTCAATTCTCTGAAATCTCATAAAAGTAAGACATGAAACTATCACCAACAGCATTTTTGGCTATATAATGTCAAGAATTTTAAAAAAAAGAAAGAAATATTAAGCGTTTTTTGAAGAATTCAGTTTCTGCCTACATAGCACATTTCCAGCATGTCTTTTTATTCTGCCTGGATATAAGTTACATAACCATTTACCATATGCATTAATACTATAATAAAATGCAGAACTATGGAAAACCTCCTCAGATTGGATAGTGGGGGAGAGTTTAGGTGAGATAGAAAAGTCTGAATTACAGAGTACGCTCCAACTGATATATTTCCCTTAACTTCAAGTTTATTTGGTCACAAAAAATGGCTTATAGCATATTGTCAAGAAAAGATGGAAATCATTGTATGAAATGGACTTATTAAATTCCAAAGAGCACTTATCATGCAACTTAAAACAAGATTTCAACATTTCTTTTGAAAACAAGCTCTTACACTCAATTTTCTTTTCTAAATTTGGCAGCATCTGATTAATGCACATCTAATTAACTAACTTGTTAATTTATTCCTATTTGGCTATGACAAAATCAAAATAAGAAATATTCACTGTGGCAAACAAATATCTCTTGAAGAAAAGCTTAATTAAAATGCAGAAAATCAGATTTTCTCTCAGTGGCTCTCTACCACTTCAAACTGAATGACACTTGTATGTCCTGTTTAGAGAAGCAAAAGTGTTAACGTAAACCAATCATTGGAATGATCCCACGAAAATACCCCTCCCCACCATGTTTCCTTAAACACGCAAAGTGTTTCCACTCAATTATCTGCAAGATTGTTGTATTTTTATATAACTATGACTTTGTAAATTTAACACAGAGCATAAAATATTACTTTGTTGGCCATATTAGTGTGAATTGACCATAATCCTGATAGTAGCTAACATCACTGAGAACATTATTATTATGCGGTGAACATTATTCCAACTGCTATTCATATATTGGTTCATTTATATGTAGGTAACATTACCATTCCCACTTCCCAGATTAAGAAAACAAGGCAGAAACACATCAGTTTACTTAAGTTCAAGTGGGAGCCCAGATTGGAAGCCAGACCTAGGACCTGATCCTCTGTTCCATACAGAGGCCATAAATCTTTAAATGATGTACCGGCAGATTTATCAAAACCTCAAACAGATTTTTGTTGTTTTTCCTTTCTCCAGAGCCTACTTTTCTGCAATTTTCCCTTAATTACTTCAGTAGTTTCAGTAAATGTAGTTCTATCTAAGATAAGAGTGAACAACTGTACACATTTTTGAGAAGAATTTTTAGTTAAGGGGTCGGGAGTGTTTCAATAACAAATCATAATATTAGTACCCAATTGACCATCTAGCCAAGTTTTTAAGTATGACCTAAATGATTGAGGAATACATTCAATTCATCAAAATGTACTGTATATACCACAAAATGAGCAGTTCAGATCGAAAACTACAAGCTTTGAGATGAAGATCATAGTTTAGCTATAGATCAATTATCAATACTCTGAAAGAAAAAAAAAAAAGCCTGTCTTGCATGACATAATCTTTATTCACACCAGCTTCATTGGTGTTTCTTGGGATCTAGACAAGAGGACACTTGTTATTCAGTGTTGACCCAACGGTTTTACAGGGCTGGAAAAAAGAAAACTAGAATGTCCAGTTAATGTCCAGGTGTTAGTAACTATACCACTTATATTGTCTTCCTTATGAGAAAAGAATCCTTGGAAATGTTTTGATAAAAATGTATGCTGTGGCAAGGACCTACTCTATAGCACATGGAACTCTGCTCAATGTTATGTGGCAGCCGGGATGGGAGGGAAGTTTGGGGGAGAATGGGTACTTGTATATGCATGGCTCAGTCATGTATATTTATGGCACAGCTCTGCTGAGTACGCATCTGTAACTATCACAGCTTTGTTAACTGGCTATTCTCCAATATAAAATATAACATCTTTTTAAAAAGCTATTAAAAAATTTATGTTGTGACATTGACAAAACGAATGCTTTATAAGTATGTAGAGAAAACAAACACTGGAAGGTAAAGGAATCAACCTCTGGGATGAACAGAAACCAGAATTAATGAAGGATTCTATTTCAATTGATTAAAATTAGAATATCTTATTCTTGTAACAGGTATTATCTTCTTTTGGCCGAAGTTATTCTTCAAAACTCAGTTCGTTGTTTATAATGGACTTGATAACAGGGGCGTATTGAAGGGGAGGAAAACATACTTACCTGAAGTTTAAGTCTAAATAAATTAAAACAATATATACAAGTGCAACTACTAGTCGGTTCATTCTCTAAAAAGCACTGCCATTCTACAAAGCTGCTTACTATGGCAAGGACTGAAAAAAAAAGAATTCAACTTAATTTTCATAATGTCTGCATTTCTTCACTCAAATCCCTACCTTTTTCTAGTAGAGTGTTAAGCATTTAGATGTAGACAAGTAAATTTTGTATTACAGCTTATAGGAAACTGGTTCTACTGTGGCTTTGGGAGTGTCATATACTCCCAGCAGTCTGAAAGGAAGTCTTGTATTTTTCAGACACATATTTTTCTATTGAGGGGAAATTCAATCACTGGTTCAAAAAAATTATTTATTTTTACTATTGCTGAACAGTATCAATAATATGTAAGAGATTCTGCCTATGTGAAAATAAAGAGTAAGAAAACAGTAATTGCTAAAAATATATACAGTCCCAAAAGAAATTATAACTTATTGGACATAGTACTATAATTTTTAAAATTTTAAGCATAAAAGGTAATGGGAAATATACTTTGCATAAACACTAAACTTAAGTTGTGTTTCTTAATTCACAGTATATTTCAAAGAACATATTTGGTTTTTCTAAAAAACTTAAATTCTTGTTTCTCTAAAACAATTTCTTAAGTACTATTTTTGTTAATAAAATGAATTAGAAATTAGTAAAACTTCCTTGAGTAATTGCCATTGAGAGTTTGTGTAAGATTTTGAATTCTTTTTCTTCTTTCCTTTTAAAAGTAGGTCCTTTTAATGCCATAGACAGAGAACATTCCATATTTTAAAGATTAAAATTAATTTCATATGCAAAATAATTTACAGCTGCAGGTATAGATTATCACTTGAACTGTTAGAAGAAACAGATAACCCATTCCTGGGAATGTAGTTTTGGAAAATAAAATTGCTAAATGCAATTTTTTTTGCTAGTTCTATGCACTTAAAAAAAATTCATAAACATGCCTTTCATTATGGTAGTGGGGGCAGTGAATACATTTTTTTAAATATAAAAATTATTTCAATTTAGGCTTCTTTTAATAATTACCAATTTTATTTTTTAAATTTTTTTTATGATTAAAATATTCTTTAGTCTTTATTTCTCATTGTCCCTGGCAAGTTAAGGATATCCACATTTTTGGCAGTCCTTCCATCAAGACACTGGACCTATGTGTTATACAAATTAGATACATTATGAGATATAAATATACTTCCAGTAAACTGAGTTAATAAAATGAAAAAGGGCAGTTGGTTAGTATTATTATTATTTTTTTTCCATTTATTTTTATTAGTTGGAGGCTAATTACTTTACAACATTGCAGTGGTTTTTGTCATACATTGAAATGAATTAGCCATGGATTTACATGTATAATAATTACCAATTTTAAAAGCATCCCTTTTTCACACATTAAGAATATCCTTACAGTTGTCTGTATCAGAGCAAAAAAATATTCACTGCTCCCCACTGAACTTTTTAAAGACTGTTTAAACTAGTAATTCTTTCTTTATACCTCTTACTTTAACCACCATTGACCCGATCAATCTGTTAAGACAGACATGATGCTGTTTTTTAACCTAATTAAAAAACAAACAAACCTGAATGATCAGTCTTTAAAAAGCTGAAGAACTCAGTTATCAGAACCTGTTAAGTGGGTTAGTTGTTTCCCTTTTACTAACCTCCCTGAAGCAGTCTTTTAATTTCTTCATCTTCAAATAAATGACCATCACCACCTTCAATGAATTTGGTGACCTTGGTGACCTCTGAGAGGATATATGTTTATAGCAGAAATTGGTTTATGTAATAAAAAGGCTGGAGATTTGATGCGATACATAATGGCATCTGCCAAACAATAAATTCCAGACCAACACTTGGTTCTTTCTTGGTTTTTAGTGCTATTTTTTGATAAGCCAATTTTCTTACAAAGTTGTTGAACAGTATATAACAAATATAGACCAAAACCATCAATATGACTATCATCTGAGTTTCATTCCCTTTCTTTGGATTTTTTTTCTTGTGTTGGTATGGAACTAGAACAAAGGAGTGAGATAGAGTAGAAAATGTAAAAGGCCTCAAAGATTATTTTAGAATTTGATATAAATAGATAGCTTAGGAAAAGTGACATTCTATTTTTCTAGACATACTGACCTTCTTGCAACAATTTCTTCAGAGTTTCTTCTGTTTCTCCACCTGTAGTTGAAATCCTAGTGTATTTTATTTCAGGACCTAAAGGAAAGATAGTTTACAGAAAGACCTGAAACAAGGGTAGGCACACTTCCTCTGTAAGGGTTAGAGAGTGAGTACTTTAGACTTTATGGGTCATATGGTTGGTGTTGCAACTATTCAACTTTGCCCTTGTAGTGTGAAAATAGCCATAGACATTGTATAAATGAATGGTCACAGCATGTTCCAATAAAACTTTATTTACATAAGTATTAAAAGATGGCATGGGCCATAGTTGCTGACTGCTTGTTTAGACAAATACTTGTAAAATGGCTGAATTCAGAATTTTATGCTAATTCATTGGTGGGAGACTGATACAGAGGTTTACTGAAATCATTTATAAATTGTTTTATACTAACTTGCATATATTTTGGTGTGTAGACCTTAAGATTAATGGAAAATTCAAAGAAGAGAATGGTTTTTCTTTTAGGATTTAGTAACTCATTAATAAATAGCAAAATGAAGATAATGCATTATATAATACATATGTGTATTCATAATAAAAATGCATGCTTATAGATTTGCTCCCAAATTTCCAATTCAGGAGAAAACATAGATTATATATTTACAGTTGGTATTATTTCTACCAAAAAAGAAACGAACAACTTCAGTAACCACCATGAAAATGACTTAAGCCTCTTTGATGATTCTTATAGAGATGTTTTAGGATTAAATGTGATTTGCTTTTTGTAATCCAGGCATAGTAGCCTGGAGCATCCCATGGACAGAAGAGCCTGGCAGGCTGCAGTCCATAGCGTTGCGCTGAGTGCACACACAGAGTTTATAGTATTGAATTAAAGACTACCTGTAATGATCCGTTCTTCCCTTGTCTCTTTTTCGGTTATTTCCACAGGCACTCCATCAATGATCTTGGTATATTTTTTAATAATTGGCTCTAAATTGCGGGAAAAAAATGCATTATCCTCATATGGTGTCTAAATGGCCATAAGCTAGACGTTTTAATGATTAAACATATTTCTCACAGTAATACCATTTAGAAATCAATGATAATCATTTGGAGAACATATCTCAAATAAATTCAGATAATAGAGGTCCAAAAGCTAGTAGTCATGTCCTGAATCTTGGGTAAAGGAGAGAGCCAACTGTCAAGCTAACACTCCATGTCAGACTTGTCTCCTGACTGTGGAATGAGCATTTAGGGAGAATCCAAGGAATTAGACATCATTAGAATGGGAAACTTATAATAAGTCCTAGCTGTGGCTTATTAGTCTTACAGAATGTTCATTCTTTCTTCTAAGACCAACATGTTATCTGGTATTGATGTGATTGTTTTCATTATATTCATAATCATCCTTGCATATGCAAAGTAAAGACAGTTTTGTTGGACCTGGTGATTTAATGGTAAAATCGAGTCCAACTAGATCCATTAAAAGGTAAACTATATTTTAATTGATTGGCTAATAAGAATCCATAACTAATAAAAGCTTTCCACCAATGTGTATAAAAGTCAAGAGGAAACATCAGGTATTCAATATATTTAAACCAGCACAATTTCAAAATGTTCAAGTGATCCTAAGTAGGCTACAGGAAATAGAACGCACCTCCATGGATCACTTCAGTTACCGTTTCACCTTCTTTAATCAGTCTGAATTCAGGTTCACCTTCAATTTTGACCTTTGGTATTGTGAGTCCTGAGGCATCGTTTTAGGAGACAAATTATCATGTTAATGCAGTCCTTTAAATTTACCAGAACAGGAAATTTATTTCAACATCGATGTTGCTCAAATGTCAAAGTGCTTTCAGGTTTTATGAAATCGGTTTTAAACAGTTCCCATTGTCTTCAGATTGAGTAGTATTTAGGAGAACAAATGACTCCTAGGTCTATTAGTGTGCTACTCAAATGAATTTCATCAGCTTTAGCATTTCAACTAATGTTTAATTGATCCATCTATTCATAGTTATAAATTCTGATCATACAAAATGTTATATATGAGTACACTTCGTGAATCACACAATATGTACAAATTTCAGTTGCTCTAATGATAGCTAGTGTAGATCTTACTTTACATACTAATATGTCTATTACTCGCTTTTCTTATTACATTTTAAATTTAATTTTAAACTACTCAGTATCTTATATTTTTTATCTAATGGGCATAACTGAACATCAGAAAAGCCCAACTTTAGGCCTACCTTTAAGATACAAATTTCAGGTTTTATGGGAAAATGGGAGTACTTACCTTCTCTATGTGAATGCTGGAAATATTTACTAATTAATAGTTATCAGTCCTTCAAATGTAAAAGTTGTGTTACATTTGACTTGCAAAATGATTTTGCTCCAAGAGAAAATCATTTTGAATGTTAGAGAGCTGAGTTACTACATTACTACATAGTAATTAGATGAGAAGTTCAGTACATTTAACTCATAGAGTAACACTCTTTAACAGTTGAATGGAACTATATTTCCTTATCTTTGAGAAGGTTTATTTGTTTGTCCAGAAATTGTCAATGTACACCATTACCCAGAATTAAATAGTCTAGGAAGATCTAAAATAATGAAACAAGAGTACAGTTGTTTCAAACAATAAGTATTTCACACCGTGATATTTGATCTATGGGGTCAACGGACATTGAGAATCAAAACATAAGGCCAAGTTTTTAAGGTGTGGAAACTTCAAAGGGAAAGAATAGCTCAGGAGTTTAAGAGCAGGAAGTGACTTAATAAAATAACCAAGTAGACATTTTTTTAGAAGAGCCTCAACTAGCATTTGAGAAACATCCTCCACCCTTATTTCTATGAAGGCAGGAATTTACTACCAAATTTTTTTTTTTCATATTTACTCTGGCGGGCACCTAGGAAAATACCCAGCACAGGAGGGGTACAATAAGTATTTACTGAATTGAATTTCAGTTGATTTATTCCTAATTCTAAAATTTGGTTAAGTACCTTTTGTAAGAAACATCCTAAATTGGAGTCTAATATATGTAGTAAGAATTCAAGAGTTACCAATGAATCAGCAAAAGTTTAAACAGTGAGAAGGAAATGCCAATAGCAATCCTAGGATGACACAATTATAGATGGCTGCTAAGGCAAGTATTAATATTTGTCTCCCTCATTCTGTTATATAAAGTCAAATTTCCAATTTTTTTAACTGAAGAGTTGTTAATGCACAGGTGGTATGATCTCATTTTTCATCTTAGTTCCCTTTGTAGGAGGAACCCAAGTAGAGTTGATGCTCCATTGTGTTCCTAACTGAAGAAACAGTAATACAGTAGAATCCTGTTCACAAAGATTGGGAAGGTAGTAGATGGGTTGAAAGAAGAAGCTTGAAAGAAAAGAGATGAATCTTGGAAAATAAAAATAGTGCATCTGAATGATTTCTACTGAAAAAGATGTGTGCAAGTGATTGTACACAATTTTAGGGAATCTAATTTTTAAAAAATTGTACAAGAATTTTAAAATTAAGGACCATTTTATTTTTTCATTAAAATGATCAAGAAATATTTTCTAAACAAAAATTTCTGTTATTTAACTTCTTAAAGCACCAAATTCTCTCTCTCTTTAAACAACCTAATTTTATTTATTTTAACTTTATCTTTTTGGCCATGCTACATGGCTTACAGGATCTTAATTCTCCAAACAGGGATGAAGCCTGGGCCGCCACAATGAAAACATTGAGTCTTAATCACTGAACACCCAGGGAAGTCCCCAAGTTCTCTTCATCACTATACAAGAGCAATCAAATGCTCAAATGACAATAGGCACAGTATTTTTTTTTTCTAAAGCACAGATTTCAAATACCTCAACTTTAAGTTTTAGGAATGTATTAAAATATAGATAACTACTAGGAAATACACTTTAACATGCATACTTCCAATGTCTAAGTTTTAAGGAATGACTCACTTTTAGAGGAGTCAAAAGTGTTCAGGAAGTTGCCATCTCAATTCATAAAATGAGAAGAAATTTCCAAGTCAAAGATAATTACACTAACAGTTTTCTTAATATTTGACTGATGACATAATCTGTTCTCTTTTTTGAAGACTGGTTCTATTATTCTTTCAGGATAATGAAAAGATAACCTGGTCTTTTTCTGTGACCAGTCACCACAGTAAGATGGCTAGACTTGGACATAAAAATTCTTAAGATCTGATCCTTTGGAAGTTATTAAAACACATGGAATGAAAGGGGCATTGGAAATATTTGAGTTGGCTAACACAGACAGTAGGGGTAGAAAGAAAAGTTACCTGATTTAATATTCTAGTATGATACATCAGGAAATAAGTATACATGCCTATTTAATGTATTATATATGTATACATATAAGAATATATAATACTATATGTAATAATATGTAAAATGTGCACACATATTCAAGGCTGGAATTAAGGATTCTAAGGTTTGATTCATTGTACCAACTACGTATTTCCTAGGATTAATTAAAAAGTATATCATGTGTGGATGTACAATTTAAAAGTTTTCTTCAATATACAGCTTCTGTGCTCTCTGAGTTTGTTGAATAAAAAGAATGTACGCACTTTTTTGGAACACCTTGTAACAGTATAAAAGAGATTGATATGGGGGAGACTGGAAACACAGCTATAAAGAGTACACTCTGAAAGAGTCCAGGTGCAGGGAAGAAAGCTCAGAATTTATTTGTTCAGTGAGTATCTGGGTACTAGTGCTAATGCAATGGCAAATTAAGTTCAAATGAAATCAAATACAAGCAAATGTACTGAAGGTATTAGGAATGCACATCTACTCTTCTAAATAAACTTGCATTCCACATTCTGCTGTTAAATGAGCATGCCATCGATACGGAAATACTTAGCATGTTAGTTTCAAAAAGAATGTAGGTACATTCATAGAAATCAGTCTATTACATGGATTTTTAAGGAACCATGTATACATTGATTTTTACCTTCTGTTTTGATAATAGGCTGAAGACTGCCTTCAATCACTTTAATTTTTGGTTCCACAACTTTGGTTATAATTTTAGTTGCTGAAAGTATAGAAAGTGGAACATAAATGATGTTTACATAAAAACAACCTGAATGAAAATGTCTTTTTTTCCCCTTTGGTTTTTGTTGGGTACTGAGGTATCAGATGTGGTAATAAGTTCAGGCAGTCACATACAGGAAATAATTCATAGTAATTATCTAGTATCTTCTCATGTCCAGATGAACTCTGAAGTCCAGTGACTTTGATTTGTTCCAGTGAAATATGTACTTTCTATGTGAGGAATTCTACCTAGAAATCTACAATTTTCAACTGCAGCACTAAAGCTCTTTACCTTCTTTAGTACTTCTTGAAAATACTGGCTGCATAGCAACAAAGACAAATAAACATGATTAATTTCATACAATTCATAATATCTTAAATTGAGTTATTGGGTTCTTTCTCAGTTAGAAGAGATTGAAAGAAAAAGACTTGAAATATTTTTCATGCATTTGATGACAGTGACATAGAAAGGAAAATACAAAAAATTAGTTCAGAATACTTAAAAATGGATTTTTTCAGTCAGCCAGCCACGAGCTCTATGCAACAGATATCATATGATCATGTATTTAAATATTTTGTTACAGGCTAAAATGACTATAATTTTCATCATCATCATCATTTTTATACTGAAAGCTATGTATTTTGAATGTATGTCATCCACCCAACTGAAATAATTATGTGCAAAATATATTTAAAATAGTAGCCAACCATTTGGTCAGCTTTTGGTTGCATAGATTAACTAGAAGTCTGCCTCTGGAGTCAGATACCAGAGCTACTGACGTTTTATCATTTCTCATTAGAGCCCTAAAAGATAAGGGCTCTATCCTTTAGATAAGGAACTAAAGCTGTCTGTGTAGTTGTAACAGATTGTGCTGACACACTACAGGCAAGATGTTAGTACGTTTGGATTTCTGTCACATTTTCACTTCAGGTGTTTGAAATATGTATGTGTGTCAACTCTTTGAATCCATTTTAATGGATTCCAAGGCTTAACTGTGACTGTTTCAGTTATTTCAGATTTAACATGTTGAGATCTCAAATTATGAAACTCTCAAATATATGAAATTGGTGTGTCCAGTTATCCATTCCACAGGTGGTCTGGCCACAGAGAAACCTTTCCATGAAGGTCAAATTCATAGACGTCTCTGCTCCTACTATCAGAATGGGTTAATTAGCTTTAGTTTAAATATTCACTTCATGTTAAGGAACTTGAAGTTTAGAATATTTATTTGGTTCCTAGTTCTGTTTCAGTTTTGCTTTTCTGAGTACTTAAACAGTTTTGACAGGTGAAAGGATGAAGATTAAGTACTGATTTTATTCCTTTCCACCTCAAATGTCATATATTTGGCAACATATACTAGAGAGCATTTTCCCCCCATACAATTTAATATGTAAGGTATTTAGGGGACAAGAATAGTACATAATAAGACAAAGAAATTTTAGAGACAGGTCAATAAAGGAACATGAAAATGGAATCTTTGGTTTAATTAGTCTCAACCTCTATCTGAACTATGCTTCCAAGTAACAGCATACACGTCAGAGAGGAGTTAAAGAAACGTTTCACATCAGAATGTAAATCTCAGAGCTCTGTCAAGAGCTGTGAGTAGGTAGGCAAGATTCATTAGAATTGCATAATTTCATAAAATGTAGATTATCCTCTGTGAGTAGGTATCCAATGTAAGAGGAGGAAAATAAATGAATTATAATATTTTAGGTCATTGTAAGCAAAATAGTGCATTGATATATAGAGAAAGCGGTGACCCTCTCATGGATAAAGTAGGGAAATGTAGTGCAGACATACATTTTTACGGAGGAAGATGACATAGCATTTCTGATGAATAGAGCTCATAATGTTTTTTGATTTTTTAATAAAATATATCTTTAACAAGACTGTATACTTCCAGACTGGAATTTAAACCATGTGGAAGTATAACTATTTCCAACTAAGTCTTTGAAACAGTGCTGATCCAGCCTGATGCTAGGATTGTCCATGTCATTATTACATACTTGAAATCAGTAAGAGCAGCAGACATTTTGTTTTGCTCCTTACATCATCTTTATGCCTTTTCCATATCTGTTGTAAATCTTAAGGAAAATTTTCTTAATTAAATAACAGGATGCTCACAGTATAAAATAGAACAATTCTAGCTAAGATAAATGTACAAATGGGAGCAATGCTTTAGCTACTAATATGTTTTGAGTGTTGAACTGTAGAGTCAAAACAAAATGAATAAGAATTTCTGCTTTGAAAGCTGCAGTGGAAAAGAGGAAAAGACAAAGAAAGAAAAAACTACAGTCAATAAGAAATACTATGAGTTAACATTTATGCAAATGAAACCTTTACCATGGTTAAGAAGTAGAGGTTTAATTTTGATAATCTGGTAGAATCAGGAATAAAAGAAACCTTGGAATCTAGAAACTCTAGGTTTATCACCTGACAATGTTTTTGTTTCTTCATCCAATTTTGAATGGGGAGAGTTTTCTGAACCATCAGCCCATAAATGTTAGAATTCTCTGACAGCCTGCTCTTAGATAGCTGAGGTCTTGAGAGTGGAATGAGCTAGAAATGTTTCAACAATATTATTTCTATTTCCACACATTTGAATTTTCAGATAGCTCTGGAATGCAAGTTAGCTATCTCTCCCCTATATGTTTATATGACTTTTTTCCCTTGCATCTTTGCCGTGCTAGCGATTGTATCAAGCTGTGAGTGAAGAAGTGGTTCACTGGAGTTGAAGAGTATAGTCAAGGCTGAAAGGTCTCCTCCAGACTGCAAGCCCTGTTTCAAGTGGGATGACATTTGCCATTGTTTGGAATTCTAAATACCAGATTATCAATCATCTCAGTAAACACAAAGAAAATTATTGTTTTTTTTGACATCTTGCCACGTATATGTGACAAATACTCATTATGTACTTACTGTAGACAGTTATAGGGATTTCTTTGAAGGTACTTCCACGAACAAACTGAAAATAAATGTTTATATTTAGTAACATGAAATGTAGTCATTGCACTAACATGAAATGTCATCACTGTATTGACAAAATCTTGGCACCATGACTTTTAATTCTCACTAAAGAAGTGAAACTACCATTACATTTAGTAAAAATGAAGTCTCCATATGTCACCTTCAAATTTCCTGCTATTGGGCAAGATGGCAAAAAATGGCTGGATTTGTTACTCAGAGTTTTAAAAATTATAAAATAGCAAATCCCAAATTAAATGTTTATTAAATAATATTTCATATGTTGTCAGGTACCTTAACCCTACTAATATTCAACCCAGTGTTTATTCCCAGATATTCCTTTGCCTTTAACTATTGTGCTGTGTGCTTAGTCGCTCAGTCATGTCCCACTCTTTGCAACCTTATGGACTCTAGCCCGCCAGGCTCCTCAGTATATGGGGATTCTCCAGGCAAGAATATTGGAGTGGGTTGCCATGCCCTCCTCCAGGGGATCTTCCAAGCCCAGATCTCCTGCATTGCAGGCGGATTCTTTACCATGTGAACAGCTAGGGAGACCCTAACTATTGTGGTTAGTGACAATTTCTTACAAGTAAATATCTTGCCCTTATATTCTGTAGCAAAAATATTTGATGATATAAAAATTACTGCTTTTATCTACATGTCCCATCTTCCCTGATGGATTGTAAACTATTGAAGAAATGATGCCAATGGTGTATAATCAACAAACAGCAGTGTACTCAGGGTATATTTACTTGTTAATATATACATTTCTATTTTTTTATGTTAAACCTGCAATGTCTGTTAAACACATTAGAAACATATGCAATAGCCAGGCTCCTCTGTCCATGGAATTCTCTAGGCAAGAATACTGGAGTGGGTTGCTATTTCCTTCTCCAGGGGATCTTCCTGACCCAAGAATCAAACCCAGGTCTCCTGCATTGCAGGCAGATTCTTTACCAACTGAGTTACAAGGAGAGCACTACGCAATAACATCTGTACCTTAATTTGGATGTATTTGATCAGTTTATTAAGTATTTCTAGCAGCTGATCATTTCCAACAGGTGTGTCTGTGAAGAGGAATATAAAATAAATGTTGTAAAAATCAGTGAAATAAAAATCTAGATTTCTATTGAAAAAGATTTATTTTTCATTAATCAGTTCAATAATTACCAACCTGCTGGATAAAGGAGTTTATCTACGACATGAATGACACCATTTGTTGTCATGATGTCAGATTCTTTTGATTTCAGTTCATTTACCAGAAGTGTATCATTTACCTGTTAAAACAGGGGATAATGTCAATGGGAAATTTAATGAAATATGAACATTAGGATAATTAAATACTGGATTAACATTCTCATAGATATATTCTAGAGAACTTACTCCTTTCAGATAGATTTTACTTCCTTGTGTGGTCTTTAAAATGTTAGTAACACCAGGTTCAAAACCTTTTCCAATGAAAACTCCTGGTGTCAGGTGATAAAGGATGATGTTTTGAAGAGCATTTTTGTCCCCTAGGAGAAAAATATATATATTTATTTAATAGTATGTCATATATTTTGACATTTTGATATTATGATGACTAATGGGAAAATATTTCTTTGTGTTTATTTTTTTCCACATTGTAATTTCTCATAATGTCATTGTTCTCTCAAGGTAGTATCAATGCTATATCAAAACATAGTCTCTTCAATCAGTTCAATCAAAATATTATCCACCTTACTGGAGGAAAAAAATCAAATTATTTTTTGAAATTGTGGCTATTTCCTTCTTCACCTCACTGTGTGGCCTTTAATAGAGATGACATAAGTGATTATCTAGCCCCACAACATGATGGTAAGCAGCTATTTGAGAACACCAATGAGGGAACCTCTTTCTAAGTGGAATAAAAGGTGAGGAAGGCTAGCCATGAATATGAAAGAGGGAACTTTGGGGGACCGACATCTAGGCTGGAACGCTTGAGGAAGAAATGAGATCATGAAATCAAGGGGTAAATACATCTGGTGTTCACTTCTACTCACGAATCAGAATTTCCTTTTCTTCATTAGTCATTCCCTTAAAGGCATCATTGGTTGGTACAAATAAGGTCCAATCTCCAGGCTCTGTTAGGAGCTCTTTCAAGTCTGCAGCTTCAAGTAGACTGAGGAAGATGCTAGGCAGGAAGGACACATGTTTATTAGACTTAGTCTAGGTGAGCCTACCAACCATGCCTGAAATACAATAGAATCCCTATATGTGGAAGAACGAGAAAATGGCTCATACACTTTCATATGTTTCAAATGAAATTTACTGTTAAAGGTTTATCATAGGGAAATTATTTAAATATATGTATGAGTTTTAAATTTCCAAACCTCTGTTTGCTCCCTGTAACACTTGATGAAGTCACATTTGGTAACAAAATAGAAGCATTTGTTCATTTAATATTCTGCAAAATAGTCTTTGCTAATATATACTATCATTTTTAAAAAACATAATTATAAAAATTTGCAAGGAGTAGTTCAGTCTATTAGATTGGTTTTTGTTTGTTTTTTACTCACCAAATCATATTATGTAAGAAAACTAGTGTTAAGAACATATTTTAAGTTTGAAAACATTTGTATAAGCTTCTTATTCTAAATTCCATTCTCAGCAATACTGAATACTGAATGCATTTGGAATACTTACTGTGAAATAAAACTATGCCAAAAGGTCTTATTCTCCTGTGGAGGTGAAGCTTACCTGAAGCGCTTATCTTGTTTCAGTTTTTCATGGAGGGATTTCTCTGCTGGTTTGATGATCTCTCGGAATATGTGAATGGCACCATTTCTTCCTTGCTTGCTTCCTCTCACCATGCATGAATTTTCAATGCAGACAGCCTAGCAAAGAAAAGAAAGATACAACTGTGCATTTCCTTATTTGAAATTCCCTATGTGGAAGAAACTCCCTAATAAAATTTCTGGATGGTTTCTTCTAAAACGTCTCTAGACTTCTAATGCCAGAAGAAACAGTTTCTCTCCTCTGTTTTTAACATCTTGTACCATCTGATCTGGGCTTCTCTGGTAGCTCAGCTGGTTAAGAATCTGCCTGCAATGCAAAAGACCCCAGTTCTATTCCTGGGTGGAGAAGGGATCGGCTACCCACTCTAGTATTCATGGGCTTCCTTGGTGGCTCCGATGGTAAAGAATTCACCTGCAATGTTGGAGACCTGGGCTCGGTTCCTGAGTTTGGTAGATTCCCTGGAGGATGGCATGGCAACCCACTCCAGTATTCTTGCCAGAAGAATCCCCATGGACAGAGGAGCCTGGTGGTCTGCAGACTATGGGGTCGCAAAAAGTTGGACACAGCTGAGTGACTTAGCACAGCACACCATCTGACCTCACTCATCTTATTCAACCAGGTTTTCTACTACTAGGCAAGCTACTGTGTGTAGGGCAAATAGTGTTGTCAGTTGTTGTTGCTCAGGTGCTAAGTCATGTCTGATTCTTTGCGACCCCATGGACTGCAGCATGCCAGGCTTCCCTGTCCTTCACTATCTTCAAGATATTGCTCAAACTCATGTCTATTGAGTTGGTGATGCCAAAGCAATTCCATATAATTCTACTTCTGTGTTTTCTGTCATTCCTCTTCAGGTTCTACTCATTCTTTCAGACCCTTTCTAGTAAATTTCTTTAACCATGAAGTTTAATGACTTCACTGCCTCTTATGATCTTTACTATATATCACTATGGCATGGCATGTGTGCTTAGTCATGACCAACTCTTTGCTACCCCATGGATTGTAGTCCACCGAGCTTGTCTGTCCATGGAATTTTCCAGGCAAGTATACTGGAGTGGGTTGCCATTTCCTACTCCAGAGGATCGTCCCAACCCAGGGATCAAAAAACGCAGTTCTTGTGTCTCCTGCAATGGCAGGCAAATTCTTCACCAGTGGCAGCACCTGGGAAGCCACTATATATTACCACTATAGCCACTATATATGGGGAAGCCCATATATTACAAAATATTGCTGTATTTTCTATGTAAATATTTACTGAATTGATGGTAAGGCCCTATCAGTTATAAGTTAAATTACTGGTTAAGTTATAGCACTTTGAACAAAAATAATGTTTATATATGTACCATTTAGAATGCAGCACGTTTTCTGTTTTGTTTTTGTTTTTTGGCCTGTACCACACATCATGTGGGATCTCAGTTTTCTCATCAGAGATTGAACCCACGCCCCCTGTGTTGGAAGCACAGAGTCTTAGCTACTGGACCACCAGGGAAGTTCCTTCCGTATCGTTTAAAAAGTGTGTCTTGACCTTGTGGAACTATGGTATGAAAATGCTGAGTCATGTTTGGTTCTAGGTCATCTTTGACTTATGAATTCTTTTTAGCTGTAACTGCAAGGTTGCCTGGAAAGAAACTGAAAAGCACCACTTGTCAAACTGTAATTTTGATAAGCAATATTTTCTAGAAATTTTTCCTCACATAAGGCACATTAGAACCATTTTATAGAAATCTTTATATGCCTATAAAGGTTTATCATGAAACTGATTCAAAAGAGATTTAGTTGGTGAATGGTGACTGTACAGTCGAAGATCATCCTAAATATTTGACTCAGTATAAAAATTACCATGTGAACAGTAAAGTATGGTACTCTGTGAAACAAAAAGCTTATTTTAAAGGGGTTTTAGTGATTTATGGGATTGAAACAATGCTTTAGAAAAAGTTATTTATGATGAAACAAGTGCAAATTGTTTTTTATTAATTATTAATACGTAGCACTTTCATATAATTTCCTCATAGTCTTTTCAAACATGCTACTCACTTCTCTGATCTTCCTATGAATATTTACTATTAAAATCATATTAGTAAAATTCTGAGGAACATTTGTTATAAGAACAGTCTTTGAGAAGGGCATATCTTTTGACATGTAGGTCAGTGTGGATATTTTATCTCGTTCCAATTCACTTACTGTACGGTACACGAAGACTCTGAGCTGTTTGCCTCCAATGGTCTCAAGTTTTTGTCCATTGTAAAGCTCATTAAGGCCAACTTTTACTTTCAATATATGATTCTGTAGAATTAATTTAAGAAGGCGCTGATCCATGCTCAGAGTATCATCTATAAGTAAATTCATTACAAAAGAATGTTATTTTATTTAGAAAGCATTACAGTTTCCCCTGTAAGAGAAAATCATGAAAATGGAAAATCCCTAATGTTATAGATCTTAAGGATCCTACACTTATATATGAGTTGACTAAATACTGAAGGCTAGAAACTCTATGCCCCACGAGTTATTTCATCAAATGATTACATGATTCCAAGCAGTCCAGACAACAGGTTACATATCAGTGAGCACAACATGGTTTTGTGTGGTTATTGATAAGGGTTAAACTTTAAACTCTAAGGCTGGCCAAGATTTTCTCTGAGATTTTCTCTGGAAATATATTTCCAGATATTCCTTGGAATTTGATGTCCACTAGTCACATGAAAAACAACTGATGAATCATTTGTAAATTTACTTTAATTTCTGGAGAGAGAGCAGGCAAATCATGTAACCTCTTAAAGTTGGCTTGGTGTCAACAAGTTACAGACCTTATTATTACAAAAAGGGAAAACAGCATTTTTTAGAATTTGAATTTTCTTATTAATAACTTTCTATGTTACAATCTAATATTTGGAAAAACATGAAAAATAATGATGATTATTTTTTCATTGTTAAATTTTGCCTAACAATTCACAATATGTCTTGTGAAGTCATTGTTTCTGGAAAAAAAAGTAAGATTGTATTACTCTAACCACAGTTTTTGAATAGCAGCTACAAGGTCAAATACTGGTAATAATAGTTCACATCATAATATAGAAGTATATCATATTCTCCTGTTTTTATTTTCTCATAATTTGACACCTTACTTTCAAATTCTGAGTTGCAAAATGCACCTATGTATAATGTTGGTGTTTATCAAATTTATTTTTCTTAAGATCTGTTAACATATCCATTACGTGTGCTGGAAATATGATCAGGTTCACAGAAAAACTGAAGACCCCTATCACAAAATTTCACTTCCAGTAGGCCATTACCTATTATAATGAAATGTTTTGAAATAAAGGACATTTTAATAAAAACAGAACTAATTCATTGTATATGTAGCCAGTGAAGAAACTAATCAACACCTCATGAAAGATCTATTATTTCTTAGCAGACAGTCATGGTGAAGGGAAAAGAAAAAAGGTGTGTAGGGGTGGGAAGAGCTGGAATGGCAGTGGCCGATACATACCAGAAAATGCATTATTCACAGGTGCCAGCAAAGTGTATTCTCCATCTGGCCTCAGAGCAGATGCCAAGCCTAATTGGGCCACAAGGTCTGTGAAAGTGGTTTGCTGATTTCCAGCCAGTTCAATAACTTGTTTGGCTGTAAAATAAACCATGACCATTCAAACAATGTCATCATTGTTATTACCATCATCATGAAATTAGTAAATCAGTTCTTGGCTGTTTCCATAAGCTATTTGCTGTACTAGCAATGTGATAAGAAGTCTTGCCTTTCCCTAGTAAGAGAGTTCCAGCTTTCCTTTTTTTTGGGGGGTGGTGGTGAAGGGGTTAATAACCAAAGAATTTCAGAAGGAAAATATCTTTCTGATTTCATGCTTTTCAGTTTTCTTCAATTGTCTATTGCTCATCCCTTGTCTCTCTGCTCTTGTGAGGGCCATAGCTCTTTCATTTATCCCAAGGAAACCTTTTGGTTATATCTTTCCTTCCATTTTTAAGAAAAACTCTGGCACTCTAAGAATCTTTGATGATATTAGATATTAGAAACTCTGGAAAGCCAGGGCCTATTGCACTGGTATGACCATGAGTACACAAGCTACCTATTTAGGACTCAGCTCACTGTTAGTTGTTTGTTTGTTTTTTTAAATATTTTATTGATGAAAACATCAAACATATACAAAAGTAGACAGAATAGAATGGTAAACTCTTATGTAGCTATGACCCAGCTACAGGCATGTCCATTTGACCAGGGGTCAGCAAGTTATCACCTAAGAGCCAAGTCTAGCCCACTACTTGTTTTTATAAATAAAGTTTTATTGGGCCACATCACTGTTGGCTTTGTTTGTGCTTCACGTGGCATTCTTCATACTGCACATTTATTTCTCATAGGCCTATTCTTTAGACATCATAATTGATAAACAACAGTAGGTAGAAGAATGGGAAACTGTTGCTCACCAGAATCAGGAATCAGGACCTGATCAATCAAATGGATGACACCATTATTTGTCACAATATCTTTTTTGTTCACCATTTTGATTCCATTTACTGTTATGCTGTCACCATCACATCCTATCTCAATGGTGTTTCCTTCCAGGGTCTCAAAGACGGCTCCTCCCATGATAGCCTCTGAACACTGGAGGGTGTTTAGAATGTGGTACTTCATGAGAGCTAGAGGATGAAGGAAAAAGAACATGCTTTTGGATCAAGGAAAATAGCTTTTGACTCTTAATAGATGTATTTCATTGTGGAACAAAGTGTTCCTTAGAGATAGAATGCATATATAAGACCTTAGTATTGACCTAAGGTTTTAAAATTTTGTTTGCTCTCAGAATGGTCTTTTTCATCAACTCTACAGTAAAATTAACTCAGTTTGGTAGGAAATAAGCAGAAAAGAAGATCAACTGCATGACATTATTTGTATAGTTCTAGAAAATGTGTTAGATCAAGTTCCATTTATCATAAGAAAATAATTTCTGATGGAAACTCAAGAATAATTTCTCCTTTAAGAAAGCCTTCAAAGTTATTTGTTAGTGATACCTGTTGCAAACACCCAAGTAGTGTCTTGCTTTAACTACTCATGACAGCTGAACAGGCAGAGTTTACTTTATTGAGCTTCACTTTTGTGTGTTTTGCAGATAGTGTGCTTTTTTCAAATTGGAGGTTTGTGGCAGCCCTAAAGACAACATCTAGAAAGTAGCCAAAGCAAAGATGGTTTCTTGAAAGACTTCAGAAGTGATCTGTGCCTAAACGGTATTATGTCTATATTTTCACCAAAATATCTCATCAAAAATTGGTTAAGCATGTTTATGGTAGGCTGCATAAGAGAAATGTGCTAGTCACAATGTAAAATCTAGTTGAAACTATCAATAAAAAGGGAGTCTGGAAAGAAGCCAAATTCTCTGTATGAATAAGTAGTGACCAAAGATAACCATGGAATTTTCTCCACTAACTTCAGTGTAAATTTAGAATTAAAACCATTGAATAATATATATACAATATTAAACTTTCATGATCTAATATTTCAACACTTTCTAATTATTTTTAATGCCTGCTACTTATTTACTTGAAAGCAGTGCAGAAATATGTGATCTTTAGGATACCCTGAGTATTTAATTACTTGATTATTAAATTAATTATTTAATTACATTGTCTACTCTTTCAAAGATTTTATTTTCAAAATGATAATATTGCAGGACTTAATCTTTTTTTCATTTCCTTTTCTTGGGATCCTGGGAGGCTTCTCATAGACAAAGACACTTACATACCTTCTGAAGCCACTTTGTCTCCCATGATCCTTTCTAGAACTCCTCGTGGAAGTTTCTCAAAAGCTTCATTGGTGGGAGCAAAGAGTGTGAAGTGACCATCTCTCCCAAGCGTTTCCAATATATCGGATGTGATGGCAGCTGCCTGAAACACAAATGTGCTTTTCAGAGGCTTGCATGTTGCAAATTCAGAAAAAAGTTACAAGACACTCAGTCTAGGCTAACACAAGAGAGTTGACCCTATAGAAAGCTGTAGAAGTTATATCCTACTCTTCTTATATCTTTAAAAAAATTTTTTCTTTTTTTTTTGCACAACCAACCATGTTATTTCCAACTTTCTACAAACTGTATACTAGATGGGAAATTCTGCTAATACCTGTGTGACTGAAGCAATATCCAGCAGTTAGTGTAATAACTGATGGACACATTCTAAATGTGCTCAATACACTTCAGTCACATAACTAATCATTCTTTATTATGTCCACATAAATATTATTCTTTCATATGAGAAGATGTGTTCTTCTGTGTAAAATGAAAGCCTTTTCATTTCAAGAAATATACTGCTTATGTGTCTGCCAGAATTGACAGTCTTATTAATGAATAGCTTTTTATTATTTTTTTAGAATCTGATGGGGAAGAGGAGAATTTCAGTGGTCCAAAACAATCTGCTGCTACTTCTTGGACTTACCCTAAAAGATGAGAGCTCATCTTCTGCTTCAATGAAGTCCTGAATTGAGGTACCAATTTGTGTAAGGACACGGTCAATGACATGCACAACACCATTTGTTGCAATCTGGTTCCCATGGATGATTCGAGCACAGTTCACAGTGACAACCTGCAATTATTTGAGAAAATCAAATTGCAGAAATCACAGCTGTCTGTTGACCATTGAGACTGCATGCCCATTTCCCATGTCTCAAGTTTATTGGTAAATGTAACATAAAAGAACTGACATTCTGAATATAAATGCTGAGGATGAAGACTTACAAATTACTATGTCTAAAAAAAAAAACCCCCACAAAAGAATCCAAAAGCTAAGAGAAAATGCAACTAGTTGAGAACCCAGTTATACTTAACATGTCTAGAAACATAAAGCAAAAACATTTTTTTGAATTATTGTTTTTATTGCTCTTTCTTTTATAGAGATAGTCACACACTATTTCTAATGTAGGCCAAGCTCTGAGACAGAAACAATTATTACATAAATATAATCAGTTCTATTTCAGTGATTTCCTGAATATTGCTTCATCACTGACCCTTTCTGTCCCTGGAAATCTGACTGTTGGAAGAGCCCCATGACCTTGTTGGAAGTTTCCCACAAAGATGTTATCAAAACATGCTTATCAAAACCCACAAAAATCTTAATGAGTATAGTAGCTAGGGGATGAATAAAAGAATTTTCATTCTCTGATTATTCTCTGATAAATTCTTATTCTTTAGTTTTCTCTTATTATTGACTATTCAAACACATCAACTAATAAAATTACCCTTTGTGGAACATTTAAGTCTACTGTCAACAAACTGTCAATTTAACTTCTTCCTTGCCAACACTCTTTGGTAGAAATCAGTTACTGAATTGGAAATTCACATGCTTTACATGTAAGGAAAAGTTTACTCACTGACATTTTATTATTTCTGTAAACCTTATATAAAGGTCATAGAAAAAATTAGGGGCAGTGTTATTGATAAATGTACCTTTTATTAAATAAACTTACCCCATTAGGATAATGGTTAATGAAGAGCCCCAAGTTGTTATACATTGAAGGGATAATCATGCCATTTTTCAAGTCCTTGGTCAACATTCTCTTATTAACCATGTGACTGTGTAAAGCATTCAGTAGTTCAACATTCACATTGCTCTCCAGACCTCTCCGGATATCCTAGGAAAAATTGAAATGGCAGAAATTTATTTTATTATAATTAATTATTAAAATGCCTATAATCACAGTTTCTACTCTCTTATTATTTTCTCATTCAATTACCTAGATGGTCAAAACAAATTGAAATGAATAACTTAAAATTATATTATTTCAATTGATTAAGAAATTTTGTAAGTACAGGTAGTCAGTAAAGTCTTCCAAATCTTATAGAGTATTTGGACATTTTTAGAGACAAAACAAAATTTTTAATGAATATTTTGATGGAGAGATGCTCTTGCTGTCAAGGCATAGGGGATATGAAATTATCAGATATTTAAAATTTTAGGGTGGGAAAAATTTAAAATGGCATTATATTTGTATACATACAGTATTGTAATTTTAATGTGTTTTATGTTTATTCTATAACATTCAAGAATTCAGCCATTCTGTACCTTTCATTTATCTACTATCATATCATACTGTATTCGGTGTTATGAGAAATACAATGATAAGTAAGGTGAAATCTTAATCTTTGTGGTACTTATCCTATGTGTGTGCATGTTAAGTCTCTTCAGTTGTGTCTGACTCTTTGAGACCCTATAGACTGTAGCCCACTAGGCTGCTCTGTCCATGGGATTCTCCAGGTAAGAACACTGGAGCGGGTTGCCATGCCCTCCTCCAGGGTATCTTCCTGACCCAGGGATTAAACCCATGTCTCTTGCATCTCCTGCATTGGCAAGCAGGTTCTTTACCACTAGCGCCACCTGAGAAGCCCACGTATCCTATAGTGAAGTCGCTCAGTCATGTCCGACCCTTTGCCTACCAGGCTCCTCTGTCCATGGGATTTTCCAGGCAATAGTACTGGAGTGGATTGCCATTTCCTTCTGCATGTATCCTATAGCAGCTGGTAAATATAAGCATAATTAGATAAAGGACAGATAGAGAAAAAAGTGCTTTCGAGGTCAAATGAAAATGGCCAGCAATTCAAAATTTGGAGACAGGTCATGGAGGATAAGTAGATAGGGTAGGAATGGTGTGGTGATCTTTCTAAGTCCAACTGCTGGCACAGAAAGCAGAAGTTGTCCAGTGTGGTTTTATGTTTCTCAGATAATAGAGAGACATTTTAGATAAGTGTGTGGGACAATGACATGGAAGACCTTAATTCCCAAGCAAAGAGTAAATTAAACTGGCAATAGGGAGCCTTAAGCCACTTTTGTGGCATTAGAATATAATGATTAGCCTGGCTTTAAGAAGGTTAATCTGGTGGCAATGCGTAACAGGAGAGTATGATGAGGATGAAAAATGAGCTGTTGATGACTAATAGTAGTTTCTAAGAACTGAAGAGGGAAGCAGTAAGGATGACTCATAATTTTAAAGTTTGAACTCTGAGATTGGGGTTGCCAGTTACGGAAACAGCAGAAAAGCAGTTTTTGATGGGGAGAAAGTGGCATCTGTTTTGGATAACAGTTTGTTTAAAGATACAGACAGTGTATCGAAGGAGAAATATTAAGACAGGTGTTCGAAATATTCTCCTGGGGATCCAGTAACACAGACTTCATGGTTCTATGCATTAAGTGAAAGCTGAAGCCATCTGAAATGCATATGAACTGCAGAGTTCCTAGAAGAGACTTTAATAAGACCCATTCTTAAGACAAGGAAGAAGAGGAGTCTGCAAAAAGGGCCAGAAGGGTGGTTAGAGATATGGTCAAAGATAACCAGAAGAGGGAAAGTTCTGTATTTGCAAGCAAGTAACCTCACAGTTAATGTATCAAGGTAAAATCTCAAAGAATCTACCTAAGTTTTACTAAATACTATATGACTCATGAGTTTGAGCAAGCTCTGGGAGTTGGTGATGGACAGGGAAGCCTGGCATGCTGCAGTTCATGGGGTTGCAAAGAGGCGGACATGACTGAGTGACTGAACTGAACTGACATGACTCTAGTAGTAACTTTCAATTCATCGTCATATCAGATAGAAAGTAGGAATATATTTCTATACCAGTTATATAGATCTGGATATTAAGTCATAACTTAGTGTGCTATAAATCAGACTATGCATTAAAAAATGTGAAAATTAAATGTATCATTTACAACCCTTCATTTAAATATCCATACATACTTATGTCAGTCTCTGAACAGTCATACATATTTATATGCAATTAAAATGATAAATATATATATAAAATACACCTTATTAAAAATAACATTTCAAGAGGCTTCTTAACTTGCCTTTATACAAGATATATCATCTAAAATTACCTATAATTCTCCACAATCAAAAGGGAAAGAGAAAAGAAGTAAAATGGAATAATAATAAGTGCTTGTTCAATCTACTATTGGTTTGCCTTTTTTGTTATTAGTCCATGAGCCTGCTGGGCTGTTATTCCATTCATGGAGGTACTAAAATGATATGTTCCTTTTTTTTTTTTTTTTTTTTGCATGTTCATTCATGTCCAACTCTTTGCGACCTCATGGACTGTTTGTAGCCTGCCAGGGTCCTCTGTCCGTGGGATTTTTCCAGGCAAGAATACTGGAATGGGTTGCTATTTCCTCTTCCAGGGGATCTTCCCACTGCAGGGATCGAACCCACATCTCCTGCACTGGCAGGCGTATTCTTTACCACTGAGCCACTTTTTCCTTACCTTCAATTAAGGAGCATCCTTAATACCCTCATCCTTTTATGCATCATCATATATGCACAGCAGAAAGATACACAATTTCTATTAATTTACAAGTTAATAAATCAATTGAAATAATGTAACAATAACAGCAAAAGTTATATTCACTAAAAATAATGAATTACAGAATCCAGGTTGTCCCAAGCTTCGTTACTCGGTGCGAAGTAAGTGAATGATCCCTTTCCTTCGATCTCCTCCCTCAGTTTTGAGACATCAGAATAGCGCTGTGTGGTGGTAGCTCCCACAATGCCCAGGGTTCCATAAACATGGTCAATAGGCAACACTGAAATAATCAAGAGATGAATAAGTACTTAGGAGAAAATGTCAAAAATGTTATTTTACAATGATTTAACCTTTACAAGAAGTCCCTCAAGATATTTAACTGATGATTTTAGCAACACAAGTCTATGAATCATCAGTTTTGTACAAAAGTTGCCTTTTGAATGTCAAGTGATAAAGTCCTATTGTTGTTGCTCTTCAGTCACTCAGTTCCGTCCGACTGTGACCCAATGGATTGCAGCATGCCAGGCTTCCCTGTCCTTCACTGTCTCTTGGAGTTTTCTCAAACTCATGTCCATTGGTTTGGTGATGCTATCTAAACATCTCATCCTCTGCCACCCCCATCTTGTTTTGCCTTCAATCTTTCCTAGCATTAGGGTCTTGCAGGCTCCTCTGTCCATGGATTTTTTAGGCAAGAATACTGGTGTGGGTTGCCATTTCCTACTCCAGGGGATCTTCCCAACCCAGGGATTGAACCTGCATCTCTTGTGTCTCTTTCACTGGCAGGCAGATTCTTTACCACTGGCACCATCTAGGAAGCCCCAAAGTACTTATCCTTTGTGTTGAAGGTCAATGAATTTTAAATTATTATCCTAGTTTAATGTTTCATCTATTTAGTTGTTAAATCTGCTATGTCTATAAGGGTTCAATCACAATTATCACTAACTATCTTTGATAATTTCATTAAAAAAAATTTCCTCACTTCTCTCTGAGAGTGGCCAAGGTAATATTTTTTTTTCATGTTGGCTTAAAGGTCCTAAGTAGTATAATATGGTAGGTGTCAGGACCATAATTACATAGATTTGGGTCCCTGAAAGAAATGTGTAGACCTACTTCTTTTCATCATAATTTCAGGAAGAAAATAGATTAAAATATCTAACACTTCCAGAATATATCTCCTGAACTTCAGAATGAAAATTAATATATAAATGTTAACCTTTAGGTTGGGTACAGCCAACTTACTCTTCATGACCTTATTTGAAGTTTAGTATGATTTGGATCATATCACAGGAGAAATGATTCTTATCTTTGTGACAATAGAAAGAACAAGTATGCAATTAGTAAATTAAATTACAAAATCAGGATTTAAAGACACCCCAACAGAATGGGGAAAATGAGTCCAAATTAACAGGTTAAATACCTCAAGGTTCCATGTAAGTCCTGTGCCTAAGTTGAAAAAACAAATCCCTGTGGAAGACTTGATTTGATAGTATTCATATAAAACAGACCACTAATCTATATTAATTAATTAAAAATTCAACATGAGCTAATGGCATAACATGGGTACCAATGACATCAACAAAAGTTCAGGAGCTCCCTACACTGACGTATTTGTTTTAATATTCTCTCCACTGCCTGGATACACATGAGTTGTAGACACCAGTTTTGAATCACAATAAAAAAAAAGACTGGATTAGAGGTTTCCCATGTGTTGCTGTTCATGACAGTAAGGGCTCCAGAGTCTAGATCCCACTCAAACTGTGGGTGATGAGCCCACAGAAAGGAAGATTCTATTGGGGAAGAGAGAGTAGCTGGAGGACGGGTGCGATGACTTGTGTTGGCTGTCATCTCAAAGAGGAAATAGATGAACTATTTTTTTCTGTAGTTGGCGAGTTACAGGAAACCAACTTTCAGTATGAAGAATCTTATAAAATCAGAGCTGTTGAGCTGTTGAGTCAGAAAAGATGATGCCTTGCCAAGTAGTCAGCTCATGTTTCTAGACAAGTTCAAAGAAAGGGATTTTGTAGTGGGGATCTTTGTCTTGAAGGAATGTTGAACTAATTTAAATTTGGAATAAACATCTGTTGTCCAGCATCCAGTGTACAAGATGTATGTTTTCATGCTTTATTGCCAAGATAAACTAGTGATTAAGATATGGAGAATATATCTTGGATTTATCATACTGCTAAACACACACACACACATATTGGCTTCTCTAAAAGCTAATTCAACTCTTTTTCCTTACACAAGACAAGTTTTTCATTTAATTCTATAATTGAAACATTACCTGCTGGGCAGCCTTTCATTCCTTCCATCCTCATATAACCAGGGCAGCATTCATATAACACAGTCCTATACATTGGAAGAAAATTAATATTAAAATGGAGGCACTGCGTAGGATACATTTTGACAAAGTTAACAAAACATATCATTTATTGCCATGACTTATTGATAATTTAGATATCAAGTTTGTTGTTTGTTTATGACATTGTTTAGTTGCTAAGTTGTGTCTGACTCTTTGCAACCCCATGAAACAGCAGGCCAGGCTTCCCTGTCCTTCACTATCTCCCTAAGTTTGCTCAAACTCAAGTCCCTTGAGTGGGTGATGCATCCAACCATCTCATCCTCTGTTGCCCCCTTCTCCTCCTGCCTTCAATCTTTCCCAGTATAAGGGTTTTGTCTAATGAGTTGGCTCTTCACATCAGGTGGCCAAGGTATTGGAGCTTCAAGCATAAATCCTTCCAATGAATATTCAGGGTTGATTTCCTTTAGGATGGACTAGTTTGATCTTCTTGATGTCCAAGGAACTTTAAAGAGTTCTCTCCAGCACCACAATTCAAAAGCATCAGTTCTGCGCTCAGCCTTCTTGATGGTCCAACTCTCACATCTGCACGTGATTACTGGAAAAACCATTGCTTCGACCTTTTATGACATTAAGGTATTTACATGAGTTTCATTTCTCATTAGCCTCATGGCATGGTGGAAAAGTTCCAGGATTGTGGAGTCAGAATGAAGTTTGGTTCCCAGTTCCACTACCTAGTAGATGTGTGACCTTGAGCAAATCATTTAATACATTTCTATCAACTGATACATAAGTTCCTAAAGATGACTTTGGAATTTTTAGCAGCTGCAAGCAGATGGCAAATCAGGCATACTTCCTGTCAATATTATTGATTTCTTTGGTTATTTAAAACTAGCTACTAGCATTTACATTTGTTCCAGAGCATAGATGTCAATATGTTTGTGAAAATGAAGTTAACAGAAATAAACTAATGTAATAAATCAAAGAAGACATGTTTTATTTCTGGTAAAAAGCCAGACTTCAAAGCAGAAGTTTTTTTTAATGGAAAGCAAGAAGGATTCTTGGCATATGCCTTGTACAAGACTTGGCATCTCTAATATGTTTAGAGGATTAAAGTAAGATTATATCAGACTTCCTTAACTTCCAGGAAGGGTGTAATAAAGATTTCCCTTAAATGTTTCAGAAAGCAGGTCCTTTCTTATGTAGTTAGTGTGCATTCCAAATAAGCCTCATGGTAACCAAGAATATAAAGAACAAAGGGAGAAGAATCCAGAGCTTTGGCATTCCCAACTGGGGCCTAACCTAAATCATGGCCAGGATCCTTGTAACCACTGGCTTACATTATAATTGTGTGAATAACTCATAAGTCTAGCAGATGTCTGCAAACTAATAGGAATAATGTCCCGGTCAAGAAGTAACATTAGTTACAGTTATATTAAGCCAATGTGTGGGAAGAGGCAGCAGTGTCCTGTGGGGTCCTAAACTTGGTTATTATAGGGAGTCCAGCTAAGGCTCTGTGTTTTGAATACATGATTCTTAGTAGAAATAAAGATAACCCTATGCACTTTAAATAGGTATCTGTTTATACCTCCTTTTCCCACCAGCGTATATCCAATTTGCTTAAAATAATTTAAACTTAAGGATGACTAATATTATGAGTTAGAGTTATTTAGTAACTTCACATTTGTTCATTCATTTTACCTCCAGAGCTTCCCTGGTGGCTCAGACGGTAAAGCGTCTGACTACAATGCGGGAGACCTGGGTTCAATCCCTGGGTTGGGAAGATCCCCTGGAGAAGGGAATGACAACCCACTCCAGTATTCTTGCCTGGAAAATCCCATGGATGGAGAACCCTGGTAGGCCATAGTCCATGGGTAGCAAAGAGTCGAACTTGATTGAGCGACTTCACTTTCTTTTACTTTCTTTACCTTCAGAAAATGAGTTAAATTCACATTTCATAGGTAAAGCAATGAAGACTCCAAAAGGTTATGTGATTTAGTATTTGTAACCAATATTATTAAGTTAGGAATATATTTTTAACAATACCCTAATCCTTTCACCTATTTAGGGTATCTTAAGTTTAACGATGATGTGTCTCCCATATTGTGGTTCTCAGGGTATCCTTCACTGAAGGTGGGGTCCAAATTAATAGGAAGCAGGCAGGAGCCATTTCCACTGTTTTCTTGACCGAGGATGACATCTCTGACCTTTTCGATCTGGTAACTTGCTCTATCTAGAACTCAGCTCCTCCATCTTAAAATGAAGAATTTGCCAATATGTATTAATTGATTAAACCAATAAGCTATCAAGTAATAAAAAATGTTTTCCAATTTTAAGTTAATCAGTGAAACAGATAACTAAATTGAGGAGTAATCATCTTTTTTGGTTATCGAAATAGTAGGTATAGTGGTGGGCTTCCATTATCACCTTTGGAGACTCTGAGAATCTGACAATTTGGGATAGAGTGACTGGATTAAATGAAAAGATGAAACTTGAATCTTTTCCAACTTTAATCTTTGATGAAAACTCTGGGGTAAAGTGGAGAATTTTAGATAATTTCTAAATGACTGGAGGCAAACAATCTTACCTTAAAATCCTGACTTTTCAGATCAATCTGATCCTCTGGCCCATTTTTTAATAAAATGAGAAAACTGAAACACTGAGGTTAATTGACTTGCCCAAAATAAAAGAAGCCAAACCAGGAGGAGAAATGACGTAGTCAAACTCTCAGTGATTCCATTCAAACTCTCAGCGATTCTACACCAAGTCACATGGCCAGGGGCCATTTCCTTTTCCAGGGGATATCCTGACCCAGGGATCAAACCTAGGTCTCCTATATCACAGGCAGATTCTTTGCCAACTGAGCCACCAGGAAGCTAAAGAGGCCAAACCAGGAGTAGAAATGACATAGTCAAACCATTAGTGCTTCTATAGCAGGTCACATGGCCAGTGCCATAGATTCAGGAATAAAGTTAGTTTTCTGAATACAGGGAGAAATGCAGGGGAAATTTGTTTATTCACAGTGATCCATTTTTTTTAAGCTCCCAATTTTGGAGAGTATTTTCAGAACAATGTGTCTTTCTGTCCAAAGAAAGCCATGGGCATTGCAGTGTTGTCTTTGGAAGAGGCACATTAAAGAAAAGATGAGACTTACGTTTTTTTCCCACAGATGGCACCTTGATACCAGTTCCTGCAGGTACTGAAGTATTTCTTTTTGGTGCCCAAAATCTGTTGAAGGGCACAGACATTTGGACTGGGAGACAGAAGTAAGGAAAGAGCGTTAATGTCATAACATTAACAAATAGCTTTTCATATCTGTAGGTCAGGTGGTTAAAAACAAAGAAAGAAAAAGAAAAAGTTAATATGTGGCTTAGATTTTCAAAGATGTGACTCTAGTCATGGACTGATCTCATTCTTGATCCAATCCTACTGAGTCATTACAAAAACTTAACTGTGAGAGACAGAGAGGAAATTGTACACCTCTGGGAATACAATGCCAGTATTTCAGAAGCAAATAGATTTTAACAATATGTTTCTTATTACTTTTAATAGTAGGTAATGCCCTGACCCTTCTAAACCAAACATGTACTCACTTAGGGCATGGGAGTGGCTTCACGGCCCTGGAACAATGACAGATCAGACAGCAAAATAGACAAGTTTTACTAAGTCCCAAGATACTGTACTCTGTAATTTTCTAGGTAAGCAATCGTAGAAGTAAGTGAATGCTAAGATTAACTTAAATAATATGGCTGCCCAAAGGAAAATTTATTTCTTTGCCTGGAAGTAATTAGATTAAAACATTCTTTGCCAGAATTTTAAGTGTTTTTCTCCATTAAAGAGATGTGAGTCTTATTTGCTCTGTAAAGCAAGGGAACTTGGAAGCATGATGAAAAATTCTCTGAGACATAGGCAGCAGTGCCGTGATCCATTTCAAAAATTAACACTAAATGCTTGGTTAAGTTACTAAATTGTCTGATAACTTTAAGAAACTCAGTTGTAGTTTTTTCTATGAAATCAAGTTATTACAAATTTTACAGAATGCAAAATTTAAAAGCATTCTTAAATGCTTCAAAAAACTTCAGAAAACTTGTTACATTATATATTGCTTAATTTTCATACATAAATGAAATTTTCCCTAACATAATGTGAGGTATTTCAAAGCTGTTTATGTAATGAGAGCCTCTAGCTACAGATTCTTTAATTTTGAAAACCCCATTCTGGAAATTTAGAGGGAAATAAAACACTAATAAACTGAATCATAAAGAAATGCCCTGTTAAATGTTGTTAATTAGACTAAAATCTTGCAATGTTTCATAAAAAAAGCAATTATACACAAATTATTTGGACAGTAATTTTTAAAGTTTAAGACATGTACATAAACCACAGATTACTCATTTGTTCCTTTTTCTTATTACAAATAAGTAGGAAAAAAAACCCTGAGGTATAAATAAGAAACTTTATGTAGAAATATACATACAACAAGCTAAGGGGGGTGGGGGTGGGGAAAGGTTTATAAAATCAAACCACTGACTTACCCCTGATCCCGTCCCCTGATACGGCTGTGAGCCAAGATCTTGTCGTAGTGACCATTGGCATTTGCAGGGTTAACAACCAACAGCAGGAACAGAGAGAATACTGGTAAGAAGGGAATCATCTTTAGTCTCTCCGTTGCAGTTAGTTCACGAAGAGAACTGGCAGTGGGCTTTGGAGAGCTCAGAGCTTATATACATGTCAGAGTTCTGGGAGGGAGCTCTGTATCAACCTGGGAATCTGAACTCTCTCCAAAAGGCATCAGCAACTTCAAGTTGCCAGCTAAAATCCGCTTTTGTCAGTTGTGTTTGCTGAGTACACTGAGCCTCTTTTTTCTTCTCATGCTCCAAAAGATATTTATTTTTGTATGATTTATCTTTCTCTTTATTTTACTTCCTGACTCATTTCAGGTTCATATTTCCATCTTATTCGCTTGTAAGTTAGAGGGTTTTTATGGGAAATGATTTTGTTTAGATGTTAAGGATCATTCTGTCATCCATACCTTTCAGAGTCCCTGTCCACGTGCTCAATGAGAGCTTGATTGGATCTTATCACATCTTGTCATATTCAGTTCACAGCCAAACTGAAAGGTTATTATTTTTCACCAGTAAGCAAAGGTAGATCTAAGTCTGATAATCACAAGGCAGTAACGACTACTGATTAAAAACAAACCTTGTCCAGATATAAACTTTCACAGAGTATGAGATTCGAATTTTAACTTGATGATGAAACATACAGGGGGGATCATATTTTCACTAAACTGGGGGGATACTTCCTGTTTCACTTCTCCTTTCAGATGTCAAGGCATAGATGGAGTTAACACACATCCAGTTCTGGCAAGTGTCCCTCACTGTTGAAATGAAGCAGCAAAGGAAAACCATGTTTGCTCTGTTGTGTTTTTCCTTACACACAGGGCATGATGTTGACTATCTCTAGTCAGCACATCCATTGGTAACCACAGGGCAAAAGCATGACCTTTTGGAAACCACTATTACCAATCTAACCTAAAGGGAATAATGCAATATGTGTTAAGAAACAGGGGCATTGCCGGAATTCTGCTGCTTGTTTTATCAACAGTAACTAAAGTCTCAATGTTATGCAGTGCCTAGTCAAGAGAATATCCACTCTCACCACCCCATATATGATATGGCAAATGTTCAGAACTCTTTGGGTGAAAGGAATCTGAACATCAGAAGTCAACAATTACCTGAAATAACTGCAGTTTCCCCAGATAAATAAGTCACACATTATCCTACAGTAAAAGTGTAATTCAAATACATTCTTGTTGCAAAGTATCCCTCCTATAATGGTCCATCAGAGTCGATTCCCCACTGGCAATGTAGAGAAATCTGAGACTGAATCTGTGTTGCCCAATTGGATGGGCTTTTAGGGGGGACTGGAATGGGCCAGAGAGGATTCCAAGGACCAGGAGAATTATATTAAGCTTGCTATAGGATTTTGTCTTGGGGCACTGAAATAATTCTGCAATGTGCTGCTAGTTTATTAAGAAAGCATACAGTGAAATATTAAATTCTAAAATATGTTTAGAGGCTTCTTTTCAATTTGAAAACCTTGATATTAAGGTATAGAAGATGCAAGAGGAATTCAGAAGGAGAACTGGAAAGAAGATGGTAAGAAGTAAATTATATGCTTTCCCTGGTCCTTCGTGGGAAGGAGAATTAACCTATCACTTATGTTCCTCTGAATGGAATTATTTTAATTTTAATTTTTATGCCACTGGTTTGCTTTATATAGTAGGTTTCTATTACCCTTATGTTGTACAAATAGTAGGTGATCAGTAATTGCTTATTGAGTAGGATGGAAAGGCTTTTACGAAAATAAGTTCTAATATCAATATATTAGCTATTAGATTATTAATAACATAGTTATATAAAAGTCTTCAATTCTAGACTGGTGAGGCATTATAATGTAGCTTGAGTATCTTAAGATATAATGGTGGAATTTTGGAATTATAGAGAAACAGATCAAACTCAGAATACAGAAACCTCTCCAACATCATCACTGTAAATATTAATAGTTATCACTCTTTACTGAGATGCTCCCTGCGATTAATGCAACCCTTTTAATTTTAGACAGCTATAATTATTAATAAGCACTTTTGCGATGAAGCTGAAATCTACTCATATCTAGTGGGGCTTGATTGGAGAAGGACTGAGGTATTCAGTGGAGGATATAAACTTGGTTAATATGTATCAAGAGTAAAAGATTTATTTAAATCTGGTCCAGAATGATAATACATAAACTTATGAAGATAGGCGTTAAAGCAAAATTAATAATATTTTGTTGTTACCTACTTTCTTAACAATGCCTATAAATGGAAAATATATTGATTATTTTCAAGAATAATTTTGGAGTATGTGTTCCTGTGACCACAATTTTATCCATTGGAATCAATGGCTTCCATTCATCCTGATTCCTTCAGTGGTACAAATGGACAAATAATTGCATGAAAAAAGTTGTGAAAATGGAAAGGCATTAATATTTCAAAAGGCAACTGTTCTCTTCTGAAAGGAGTTAGAGATTTACTTTTTGTAAGAAGCATGATATATGTTCATATTTTAAAAAGAGGGTTCTTAAATCTTTCTTTTCAGAGTTTTAAATAATTGGGTCTCAAATGAAGCCATCCTGAGCATTCTATTTGGAACTTGTAAAAGTCCCATGGATGTCAACACATGCTAGCCCTCAACAAATATTTACATTCAGGATGAGTAATGCCATCAAAGAGGATCTTGAAAATGAGGACCAGATTGTACATCTAAATTACATGTAAATTTAGAGGTTGAAGAACATTCCAAGAGAAGGAACATTTAGGGTAAAAAAAAAGCACTGCAACTTAAAATGCTGAGCTTAGCCCAGAAGTGTGATATTATAAGACATTATATAGTGGAAGGAAGTCCAAGCAACTACTTTAGCCAGCATCCTGGCTTTAAGGAAGCTAATAATGGAACTGTGGTTCATCAACAACTTGGTGTAGGGCAAGGGAAGGAGATAGTTCCAGAGAATGAGAAGAAAACATTGTCCAAGCTGTAGGGAAAAGATTTTAAAATCTTGAGAGCAACACAATTCTCTCCTTTCAGGGAAGTCACCAAGGGTTAATCTCTTGCTTTCTCTCCACACAGGACCCTTATTCTTCTGTTTCATGAAAGGATCCTGCCCCTGTGTTGGCTACATAATTTTCTTAGCAGTCTGGAGGAAAATTGAAACCTTGGCAATCGTCTGACTTTCAGGGTTGCAGAGCCTGACCTGGAAATGTAAGTCATTACAGAAAAAGAAATGAATTATTATGCAAACAAATAAAAATAATGTGTCTGAAAGAGATGTTTGTTTCTAACTACCAGGATGCTAATTTACTGGCAGTTTGCAAATTATCAGGTGGGTCATTGTAGAGGCCCTGTAGCCTCTGGAGTCTGTGATGTGATTAAAGTATTGTGCTTATTATCACCAGCATGTGAAAAGTGTTAGTCCCTCAGTGGTGTTCTGCTCTTGGCGACCCCATGGACTGTGGCCTGCCAGACTTCTCCATGTCTATGGGATTCTCCAGGCGAGAGTACTAGAGTGGGTTGCCATTCCCTTCTCCAGGGAATCTTCCCAACCCAGGGATGGAACGCGGGTCTCCTGCGTTGCAGGCGGATTCTTTACTGTCTGAGACGCCAGGGAAGCCCTATCACCAGCATATAACCAACATTAAACTTATTCTGCACGCTCTAGGATTGGACATGGCCTATGGATTCAACAAACCTAGATACTCAAGCCAAGAGCAGGTTTTTTAAAAATAGAATATCCTTGGTATTGCATGATCTGGAGTGACCAATAACTGAACTGAATTATCCAATAATTTAAAATCCCGTTTTGTTTTCTTTTTATTTTTGTGTGTATGGAATCTTGATGTTTCTTGAGTACTACTTTTCTTTCCTGTTGGTTCATTTGTAAAATACCAGTAATAGAACTTACTTGTAAAACACCCTAAAGCTTTGAAGCACCTTAGCTTAAAAGGAAGCTACACTTTCTTGGGGACCCAATTCTCAGCGTCCAAGCACCTTCACCAGTGAAGGGTGCAGCCTTTCTTGGTACCTGGGTTTGCGGCCTTGTAAACTGAAGTTCTGGCAAAGACTCCAGAGATGTTACTTCCCTCAAATGAGAGAAAACATTTTCTTAAAGTGATTAGATTATGCTGAACTCAGCCAACAGTAGAAGGAATTCAAATTAAGCCCAAAATTAAATTTTGCAATTTTTCCCTCATTGAAACATTCACACGGCCAAAATAAAATTGAACATTAGTGGCCAACTTAAAAGAGGTCAGAAGGGTGATATTATAGGCTCAGATATTTGTGGCTAACTCCTTGTAAAGCCTATAAGAAGTGTCACCTCCCCAGCCACCCACCCAGTGTATTCCTTCCAGTGGATTTCTTCCTCTATAGATTTTTGCCCGTAGATCTTCAGGCATGCCCTGGCCAAACATATTTAAGATAATGAAATCATATTCCAAGAAAAATATTACTTAACTGGATCCCAAATAAAGCATTAAATGACATCTCTTTAATGTTAATTCATTTAGAAATCAGTTGGCTTTCTGTGGTAAATGTGGATAGTGTGCTATCTTTTTTAAAAAATGCACTTAGACCCTCATTTTCTTTAAAAATCTGTCAGTGACAGATTTCACTCCTATACTAAGTAACCAGTGTTTCACTATTTGTCCTTATTTAAGCTCCAAACTTTTGAAATTTTTAAATGGGAGTGTATTAGCAACACTTCTTATTACCAGTATTTACTTGTATTTCTCTGGAGACATCTAGTGGAGAAAGTGCAGTATATGTTTTCAGAGCACAGATACATTTTGATTAAAATAATTAATATGAACTTGACATAAAAAATCTTAAATAATGTATGTGCATTTCAGAATGCCAGGCAATTAAAGATTAGCAATGATCTCTTACAGAAAATATTTTCAAGCTGATTTAGATTGACTGCAATAAATGATGTCAAATCCAGATAAAAAGTGAAAAATCTGGTCTTGTGTTTGAATGCATATGTCTGAAGAATGAATCACTTCATTGTTTTAATCTGAGTTTTTGTTGTTGTGCTACACTGACATAGACTAGTGACAAGGATAAGGAATTGTGATGGACTTTTCTATGTCAGTTAACTGATTGGAAATGACCAATTCTGCAGTTTATTTTCAACCATTGGTTTCTTCTCAACTATTGGTTTCTTGCCTGCTTGATGCTATTGACAGGTGCCTTTCATCTTTTCCCTCTCTGAGATTTGGGCTAAGTCCTCGTTTCAGAGGCAGTTAAGACCCTAGTCATCATCTGTCTCCCACTTACAGATAACTTCTAATATCCTTTCAGATCAGATTGTAAGATGAAGTGATGGATAACTGCTGCTGTTGAAAGAACTCTGTAAACATCCATCCCTTAAAGTGCTAGAATTTCAATGTCCTGTCTGGCATATGCATTCTCCTAAAAGAATGGTCTGAATTATGCTAACACCATCATTCACGATAATCTGTTTATCACCTCCTTTTGTCCCTCTGACACAGAAATATTCTCAGGCCTCATACTTAGCCCTGTCTGCTGATAGCTCCTCCATTTATTTGTCCAGGTTGACATGGTCCTCAAATCCTCAACTTCTGTGTCCAGTGTTTGTAATGCATTGTCTATATTCTCTTCCTCTCTCCATACCTGAGAAGTTTCTTGTACTTCTTCCAGGAGAACAACCAAAGTTGAGTTACTTCTCACACCCCTTTCTCTCTCTTCTAAGTATTCATGTGTTTGTTTGGCTGTGTGACGTCTTAGTGGCAGCAGTGGGGTTTTCGTTGGGTCGTGCAGGGTCTTTCATTATGGCCCTCGGACTCTCCAGTTGTAGAACCTGGACTTTCTAGTCATGGTGTGTGGGCTCAGTTGCTCTGAGGCATGTGGAATCTTAGCTATGCAACAGGGATTGGACCCGAGCCCCCTGCATTGCAAGCAGAATTCTTAACCATTGGACCATGAGGGAAGTCCCTACTTCTCATTTTTCAACTATAATCTGTCTGCTAGCCTCAAAGATTGAGGCTGTTGTAAAATAAACTGATTTTCTCCACTTCTCCAGATATCAATCTTGACTGATAACTTTCTAATTGCAGAGATTGAGCATTTTTGCTATTGGAGATTCTTCTTTCTCTCCCCCTATATCATGAGATTTCCCACTTTCCTTGTTCAAATTTACTAAAAAATGTCACTTCTCTAAATGCGTGCATTCGAGAAGGTTTTTACTCGCTACAATTCTCTTATGTGCAAACTAATCTTGGGGTACTGTGTTAGCACTGTGGGGGAACAGAAACGGAAAAGACCTCCTATTCTCCTTGTTTAAACAAATGTCCCAAATTCTTTTTTATTCTTGTTCCCAGAGATACCTGTACTTATGGAAAAAATGGAATTAGACAAGTCTTAGGACCTAAGATTATATCTACATATACAACCTACACAAGGGTTTGGACATAATAGCCTCCCGGGATATAATGAACAGCAAAAAAAGATGACTATTAGAAAGAATTCGGGAGAGAAAATCATTCAAGTGGACATAGAGACTAATTCTATGGTTTTTATTTGGATTAAAAAAAATAAGGGTTATAGTAGTTGATAGAAGCTTTTACGTTAAATGAGAAAAGAATTTTTGATTAAGTCTGCTTTTCATTTTCTTTTTTTTTTTTTTGTTCCAGGAATATGTTTATTAAAATCTGAACAAAGCAGTCCTCTGCCAGGCATTTTCCCATGTGATACAGACACCTCCCCCACCACTCTCCAACATTCACTCCAACCTCCAGTCACAGAAGAGGCAGAGGGTGGTACATGTCATTGATTATAAAAATCTATGTATGCTCTGAAATTTAAACAACTTCTTTAATGTGCTTTAGATATTTCTAATGAATGCCATGGCTCGTCAGTTGGCTAGTACGCCAATGGACAATCATCGCTAACTATGATGTACTTCAAGTCTATAAATTCATCTCTCAAGTTTCTTGAGAGGAAAAAAAAAGCACAGGTTAGAGAATAAACAATAGGATGGTTGAATCAGAGTCACACCAGAGTTCCCCATGGCCTGTCACCAGAGCTAAATTTCTTAAAAAATCAAGACCCCGAATGTCCCATGATCTCAAGTGTGTATTTGTACAAATTAGTGAATCACTAGTTCAAGACATTTTAAAATTATCTGGGACCTCTTTGACCCACATGTTATCTTGCAGTGTGTTGTTCCACCTGCAAGTATTTTTATATTTTCGGCTTTTTTTTTTTAATTACCGCCTAGCTTCATTGATTCACAGTCTAAGAAAATGCTTTGTATGATTCTCTTAAGTTTGAATTGTGACCCACAATGTTGTCTACCTCAATCAAAGTTTCGTCTGAGCTTAAAAGTGTTCATTTTGATGTAGTAGAAGAAAATATTCTATAAATGCTGGTTAGATCCCTCCCCCAAAAAAAGCCAGATTAGGGAATCAAGATTTCCTTATGGGGGCACAAAAGCAGTTTTCACTTTGAAGGAGAGTCTGTAGAACCTGAGAAACTGTCAGCTGAGGATCTCTGTGCAATCAGAAGCTTTGTGCAAACTGTTTAAGCTCAGAGATGGGACAGCAGCAATGTTGTCTCATGGTTCTCAGGCTTCTTGTTGACACTGCTGGTGTTTTTAATCCAAGATGAGACAGAGCATCTTTTCTAGGTCTCGCAGGCCACTTTCTCTTTTTATTTTCTATTCGGTTGTTTTTTGTAGAAAAATTATTAGAAATCTTTAAGCTATTATTTCTGGGCCTTCCTTAGTTTCCTTAAAAAAAAAAAAAACTACACTAAAAACATGAAAAATCTGATCATTCAATTAGATGAAGCAGCAGAAGAAATGACCCAAGGACACCCCTCCTCACCTCAGACAACTTGGGTCTGAAAGACAAGCGCATTAAATGACTGCCAAGTAATCAGATTCTAAAGATGAAAGACAATTATATACCAACAGACAGCTCAGCATGGTGGTATGTTTTAAAAGATCTTGTCCACAATAAGCAAATGATGTAGTGATGGAACATCAAAACAAAGGTGACGAATAAGAAGGCACACTCTAGAAGTTCAGTAGTTGAAAGAATGAAACAGTTTTGGTTTGTGTCTAATGTAGGAGGAAAGGAAAACAGGTGTATTCAGATTATTTTCAGGTGAAGGGTTCTGTCAGTCAAAGTTAAGAGTGGTGGCTTCTTTCTCCCCGGACCAAAGCAGTCTTTTCTTCCACTGGCTTCTGAGAATGCATTTAGTTTTCTGAAGTATAGAGGTGATACATCAGGGCTACAACCAGTGCCGAGATAGCTGGGATCAGCCAGTTGGTCCACCAGCTGGGATTAGAATCAACGGTAGTAATAATACTTTCCGCAGGCTTGGTTATCTTTGCTCTGTCATCTGGGTGCAGCTCTCCAATGATAAACGTTTTGGACAATTCTCGCGCATCTGTAGAGTGTCCAACATCCTCAAAGTTTTCAGTAGCATCACCTCCAGCTTGTTCCCTTAAGACTTCCTCCCCACCAGGATGCTCCTCCAAAAATTTGGTCAAATCGTACACTTTGTAGTGTATGATCAGCCAGGTGCTCTTGCTGTGGTTGTGCTTCTGGATTTCTTCCAGCGTGTAGTACTTAACGGCTTTGCTGGACTCCTCGGCCATTTCTTAAGGCAGCGAGCCTAAGGCCCTAAAGGCAGCAGGAGAGCGGGACGGAGAAGAGCGGCAGTCTCTGTGAACTCGCCCTGGGACGTTCCCCCCTGCTTTTCATTTTCATAGACACACTCATAATTGCACACTTTTTACCTGTAGCAAGTCATTTTCAGTTTAAGTAAGTGTGTGTGCTCAGTAGTGTCCAGACCCCATGGACTATAGCCCACCAGGCTCCTAGTCCACGGAATTTTTCAGGCAAAGTCTTAAACATGCGCGCGCGTGTGTGTGTGTGTGCACGCTCAGTTGCTCAGTTGTGTCCTACTCTTTGTGGCCCCATGGACTGTAGCCCACCAGGCTCCTCTGTCCATGGGATTCTCCAGGCAAGAATACTGGAGTGGGTTGCCATTCCTTCTCCAGGGGATCTTAAAAATAACAATAGTAGCTATTTATTATAATGAATATGTTCATGTACATCAGCAGCGTTTGGAATTCACACACAAAGTAAAATGTGGGAGAGAAACCTTACTTTGGGTGGGAGTTGATAGTGCTGGTACCGAAGCAGTAAAAAAAAAGCCAAGCAGTAAAAAAAAAAAATAGAGGCTGTAAATTAGTATTTCTTCAGTCTGAGAGTATTTCGTTCAGTCCAGCTCAGTCACTCAGTTGTAACTGACTCCTTGCGACCCCATGGACTGCAGCACGCCAAGCCTCCCTGTCTGTCACCAACTCCCAGAGTTTACTCAAACTCATGTCCATTGAGTCAGTGATGCCATTCAATCATCTCATCCTCTGTCATCCTCTTCTCCTCCCGCCTTCAATCTTTCCCAGCATCAGGGTCTTTTCCAAGGAGTCAGTTCTTTGCTTCAGGTGGTCAAATTATTGGAGTTTCACCTTCAGCATCAGTCCTTCCAATGAATATTCAGGACTGATCCTTCCGGATGGACTGGTTGGATCTCTTTGCTGTCCAAGGAACTCTCAAGAGTCTTCTCCAACACCACAGTTCAAAAGCATCAATTCTTCAGCGCTCAGCTTTCTTTATAGTCCAACTCTCACATCCATACAGTATTTGGGGAATTTTAAGACAGATTATGTTTTCAATTGTATTTAAGCACCTATCAGCACATATTTTTACCATGCAGCAGTGATTTTTTCGCCAGCTTTTTTTGACACCTTTTGTCCCCTTAATCTTACAAGGTTTATACCCAAAGGCTAATGGGTATAATGAATGAACAAATCATTTGCTCAAATTGACCCATATTTTGGGCATTTCTGCTTTGGCAAAACCCCAATTGAAGGGAGGGAGCTCAGTTAATTTCTCTGAGAGTTCTAGTTATTTAACTCTGCCCAACACACCATTCTGAGCTTAGAAGGATAAAATAGCAGTGGACTTCTCTGGGTCCGGGGATTCTCACTGTGCACAATGAAGATCCATCCTGCTGTGCTGTTGGCAGCTTCAGCTGGGGAGGGCAGAATGGCTGGTCAGTGGCTGCCAGCTGCCACCCGAAACACCTCGTACTGAAGGAGGCTCTATTGCCAAGATGGTGTCTTCACTTGGAGGTCAAGCACGTTGGCAAGGTGGGCTGGAAGGCTGAGTTCAGCTGGCACTGTCAGCTGGAGCATCTCCCCATGACCTCTCCAGTTTGTGGTGGCCTCAGAGTAGTTAGACTTTGTACACGATAGCTCCGTGATTTAACTAACATTCATGGTTTTTAATGAGCTGACTCTGAACACGTGTGACGATGTTCAGTCACAATAACAATGATTGAAAGTGTCACAAGCCAGTCCAAACATCAGAAGAGGGCTCATAGACAACACCCCTCAATGACAAGAGGATAAAAATACTTGTGGCAATGGGAGAATAGCATTAGGCCCTGGGACTTCTGGTAGACCTAGAAATGCCTACAGAGTCCTCTAAATAGTGGTGAAATCAGATAATGTATGTGGAAGAACTATATACCTAGTAGCTTCATTTCCCATTTTATTTTTTGAAAATCATCAGAAAGTCATCATGCCAATAGTGCTTTAACCTTCCATACTCCTGGATTACAGTTCTTTTTAGAATTTTGAAGCTTGGTCTAAATAGCTTGTAAAACACCTATCCACCTAGGCAGGAAATGGCTTTGAACTTTTTGAAAGGACATGGGTTTTAATGATGGAAGAAAATTTAGAAAGTATTTTTGAAATCAAGATATCGAATTCTAAACTGGGTAACTTTAGTGTTTGTGTATAATATTGCAGATTTAACTACCTGACCTCTAGTGGTTGCAACCGCTTTTTGCAACTGTAAAGGAAATAAATTTCCTTCAGGTTTGTTCAGCCTGCACTAATTCCTTTGAGATTTTATTGACAAAATAACAAATCCAAGAGGTAACAAATGAAAATATTTTTGCTATAATAACTAAAGTCCTAAAAATTGACTTTTAGCTTAACTATATATTCAATGCTGACCCTTTAAAAATGTTAGGGTTTTATAATTATATAGGGAAAAAATATTGTAACCTTTCCCCAGCTAAGCTGGGCTGTAAAATACTGTTATATGAAATGTCTAGATTAGTGCTTATTGACGCTAACTGTACATTAGAATGAACTGAAGAGCTTTTAAAAAGTACAGATAGCCAGACTACCACCCTAGAAAATAAATAAATATTCTCCCAAGAAATAATAATAAACAGCCAGAATTGGCAGCCACTGGTTCAGTTGTTCTGACACAAAGTGTACTAGTTGGATTTTGTTGTTATTCCTTTAAAGTTAATCAAAGAAATGCTTTCAGCTTCTAATTAACTTAGCATATACAAATCACTTGAAGAGATGAAATATTTAGAACTCAATATTTTTTGAGATGAGCTCAAAATAAAGCAACTAGATGATTTTTAGGATTGCCTTTGATTCAGATAATGCTATATCACCACACACACAGTTAAAATGGAGGAAGGTGAGACGGATCATGTCTGAGGTTTGACAATGGGCTGGAAGTGATCCAAACCATCAAATCTAAGGCAGAGAAGAAAATCTGAAAGGCTGAGTAGGAAAATTCTTGCTGGATATGTTCTCAGAGGCGGGCAGAGACATTCTTTCCTTCTTTTCCAAATTCTTCATCCTGCTAAAGTCATCCACTGTCTGATACAGCTGAAACTTTACGTATATGAAAGTTTTTTTTTTTTTAAACAAATTCATCTGTTAAGATACAGCTCTGAGAAACAGGAGTAAAACTTTGATCAATTTCTTTTAAAGATAAAAATGAGTTCATCTCTGCTGATTTTCAGATCCTGGTAAGAAAAGTTAAGGAAAACTGTAAAGAAACTTATGACTAGCACCATGTTGACCCCTTAGCAAAGATTTTTTATTTTTCATCTTTTATTCCTTTCCATAACTTTTGCATTGGTTCTTTCTTCTTTCATGAAAACTTATACGTTACTGTTAAAAGTTTAAAGGATATTTGAATATTAATGAAAGTAAAAAGACAGAGTAAGAAATTAAAAAGTTAAAGATGAGACAAAGGGAGAGACACTGTTGTATGTTATATACTTTAAAGAGGCTACTACTTGGGGGTCAGATGGCCAGGGTGGAACCCTTTGTTATCTTGTCTTCAGCAATGAGATCATCGGAAAATTGCTTAGCATCTCTGTGCCTCAGTGTCCTTAGCTGACTAATCAGCTAATAATATCTGTCCTTTCCCCCACTTAGAGATATTTTAGGAGTTATTTTTAAAGTAAGAGAGAGTTTTAAAGTAAATGTCCAAATAGAGTAAATTCTGTGCCTTTTCGAGGTTGATGGACGTGAATAATACTCAAAAATGCCAATTCTGTTTTTATGTCTAGTGAGAACTTCAAGAGACAGTAAGAGATAACTTTTTTTTTTTTTCAGCCTTGACAGGCATGGTGATTGAGCTCAAGGAACTATCCTGCTGTAGCAATAAAAATATCAATGAAAATGCAGAGTTATTTTTGTTTGAAGTGGGGATTGTGTGTATTGGTACGATTTTTATATAGTACAGCAGGTGAGGAGGATTTAGAGTCAGAGGAATAAGACACTTCTGAGGGGAGGAAAATATATAGAAGCACCTACTCAACCTACTCAGATAATCAACTCTGGGACATACAGGAAGAGCCCAGGTATGGAGGAGAAAGTACAGGTCAAATGCACAAAAGACAAAGTACTAGATAAATAAGTTCACTACTAGGGTTGTATGATCCCGGCATGATGACAGTGAGATGCTCAACTGACGCTTTTTCAAAATGCAAAGTATCCACATTAAAAAGAAGAAAAAAAAATATATTTATACACATTTAAGAAGGCTTCCCTGGTGACTCAGTGGTAAAGAATCTGCCTGTCAATGCAGGAGACGTGGGTTCGATCTCTGAGTCGGGAAGATCCCCTGGAGAAGGAACAGGCAACCGACTCCAGTATTCTTGCCTGGGAAATCCCCATGGACAGAGGATTCTGATGGGCTACAGTCCATGGGGTTGCAAAGAGTCAGACACAACTTAGCGACTGAACAACAACCACAGTATACATATAGAAATACTGTTCAGTAGTGCATCGGAAAGATATACAATAATTTACATATTTGCTTGTAAATAAATGTAAGCTGAGTTTTAAAGAATCCTTTTCAGTATTTTGTCTAAAAAGGTCCAAGATATTTTTTTGTGGATACATGGTTTGGTTTTTGTCTGCCAGGAGACATAAATAGTTGAGAATAACTGAAAAGTAAGGCATACCTGACAGGATTACTATTCTGCTGATGTGCCCTGAAAAAGCAGCTGCGCTTTGCATCCCTTTGTAGCATGTGAAATGCACAGTCCAAAAAGGAACTTCTGATTGTTTGGCACAATGGCTTTGAGGGTAACGCTTTATATAACCTCATTATGACAGTTGCCTTCTATCGTAGCTTAAGAATTCTGTTTAAGGGCTTTGCAGGACTTATCTATGTGCCACTGTATCATATCAAGAGAAAACGAATCCTGAGAGTGTGTCAAGATCTCTGTTGCTATTTCTGTTGGGGATCATGTTACCATAGAAATATATTCCCTGTGGCTTATAAAAGTCTTATTTTGCTTAAGTGCTATTTTTATTTTATTCAAAATGAAATAGAGATAAAAATTATAAAA